TGTGCACATGGTCCCAGCCCTGCCTGTCCCGACAGAGGTAGCCCTGTCCTGTCCTGGCTGAGGCAGGCAACGGCGGACAGGAGTGTTTTCCAGAGTTGTACAAGGCTGCGGAGAGTGGGCACAGGTCCTGCTCTGTGCTGGGCATGCAAGCTGGTGGCCCAGGATCAGATGCTACAGACATCTCTCGTACACCCCATTTCTGCACCAGGGCAGTCAGAGGGATAGGAGTACACCCAGCCCCAAAGTCAGGGCTGAGTGAGGGGGTGCGAGCTGGGGGTTGGTCCCTCTGTATCCAAGTCTCACACAGGAGGTCCACAAAGTGACCAGGAGCACAGAATACACTGGCCTGGCAGGGGAGAGCTACTGCCACGAGGCCAGTGGAGCCCCGACCACTCCTGGAGAGCCAACTGTCCAGGCAGACAGGCCAAGGGGTCCTGACCAGGTCTGGGGGGCTGGGAGGGCCAGGGTTTCTCCCTTCTGCAGTCCACCTGTTCCTCCAGTCACCACAGACCTGAGCCATGGTGTGGGGTCCAGGGGCAGAGGGGGCAGGAGCCCACTCTCAGCAGGAAGAGCGGGTGTCCTGACACCTGCAGAGGGCTATCCTGGGGTAGGGGTGGCATGGTCAGGAACAGCCCTTGTCTGCCCCCAGACTGCCTTGCCATGGCTCTGGAGGGGCAGCCCAGGCAGGTGGGGCCAGGCAGAGCAGGAACTGCCCCCCAGGATCCTCCCCCAAGCAGCTTTCCCAGAGCTTGCTGGCAGCCCACTCCCCTGGCAACAGGGCCAGAGGACTCGCTCTCCTCAGCCTGCCCAGCTGGAATATGGGGCCTCAGGCTCCAATGGGGCGCGTAGGCCGAGAGCAGCTGGGCTGGCCGCCATAGAGACGCCGGTGGGAGGCGAAGGCCAGGATCAAAGGCTCAAGGGCTGGCAGGGGGCCTGGCCCAGCAACCGCTGCATCACTCCAAATCCAGCAGCCACCAGGCCCTTGCTGACAGGGTCAGCTCCTAGACCCCCTCAGGGAGCCCCAGCCCAAGAGGGTGGAGACCGCAGGCTGAAGCAGGTGCGAGGCACTCTCTTAGAGGGGACGCCAGGCGGGTAGGCTGGAGCTAGGGGCCTCCCAGGACCCGGCCTCCCTTCCCATGCCAGAGGCCATAAGGGGTGCTGGCTACTCAGCAGTGGGTCAGGGCAGGGCTAGCCTTGGCCACCCCGGAAGCCAGAGTTGGAGCACCAGATTCCAGCAGGGGGTCTGAGCCAGCTGCCCAAAGCACCTCCCATTTGCAGTCTCACCTCAGGGCAGGAAGTTACTCAGGGCATGATGGTCCTTAGGCTTCAGTGGATTCAATGTAGCCCCCACAGAAGCCCCTCCATCCCTAACTCCCTCCCCAGGCCCAGAGAGGGTCCCCTGATCCACACTGTTATGGTTCCTGCCCGAAGTCCCACCCCACTCTGACAGGGGAGGCGGGCTGAAGGATGGCCCACGTGGGCCCGTAACAGATCATGCATACCTTAGGGAAGCCCAGTAGCCCCTCGCTGCCCAGTGTGGTGGCGTTGGGGGCTATGGGGCGCTGGCTGGACTGCCGAGGCCTCTTGGGCTCCCGCCGGGCCCCGTTGCCCCCGAGGAATGTGAGCTGTGGCCAGAGGAGGACTGTGGCGGCCACCCAGGCCCAGCGCATGTTGGCTGCTAGCTGCTGGATCCGGAGCCTGCAGCGGCTCAATGCTGTTGAGTCCAGGCAACCGGAGGCACTCAGAGTCTGGGTGTGGGGGCGCAGTCCCGAGGGACGCCTGACCGCCACTGGTGCATGTCTGCACAGGATGAGCTGGGCTAGTGAGGGACGCACCCCCGATCCTGCAGACTCCCTTGTGAGCAGTGCCCTCCCCGCCCGCGCTCCCCTCCTCCCCAAGGCTGGCGGGCTCCAAGGGGGCGGGCTCACAAGGGAAGAACCTCAGCCTCCCAGGCTTGGGGGCCTGCCAGGGGGCGTGGATGGGGGCGGAACCCCACCGGCAGACCACCCACCTCCCACACAGCTGCTGCCCAAGGGGAGAGGTTGTGCACTCCCCACCCCAGCCTCTTCACGGTGGGGCCCAGCGACCCCAGACAGGGACACACTCTGTCGGGGTTCACAGCCCCTTGCTATGACCTCACAGCCTGTCCCTCTGGCCCTGCTGCCCCAGGCCATGGCCCTGCTTCTGTGAGGGCTCCCAGCTGGTCCCAGCCTAGGTAACCCTGGGGGGTTCCTCCACCAGGGGCCAGTGGGGCTAGCAGGGAAGAGACCAGTTAACCTCTAAGCAAAGGCATGGCACGCAGCTGCCCCTCCTCTTCTTGTGGTGCAGGCCCATATCTCACTGAGGGGTTGCCTTCACCCAGCTGTGCCCCTTGGGCCCTCCAGTCCCCAGGCCTGTCCCCCCACTGGAGGCCAGCAGAAAGCTGAGCTCCCAGTGGCCGTGCCCTGCCAGACGATCCACTCTGGCAACGGAGAGCAAGTGACAGTGGACAGGTCCCCAGGAAGAGCTGGGGCCCTTCCTTACCTTCCTACGAGCTGCAGGCAGCATGAAGCTGTGGCCAAGTGGTGTTGACAGGCCCTGGTGGGGGCCCAACACCTAAGACAGGACCATCCCCCTTCACCAGCTGCCCCTCAGCTAGTGCCACCTGGGGCTAAGGGTGGTCAGAGCTGCGGCTGACCTGCTGCTTGCAACTCAGACTTGAAAAAGGTGGGGTTCCCTGTCCCAGGGGCAGCACGGAAGACCGCTCCAGACCAGCACCCGCCCCGCACTGGCAGAAGTCCAGCACGAACAATGTGAGCAGGAGACAGCCAGCCCTGGGCCACGTGCAGGGTTGGCAGCTTCAGGCAGAACCACCTCAGAGACAAGCTGGGGGGGACGATGTGAGGAGTGTCCGCCCAAGGACACCTGTTCCACTCCTTACTCAGGTAGATGTGGTCACCTCCCAGGACAACAGCAGCCAGTCTCAGTGAATCCTGAGCTCGCCACTGGAGCCTCAGCTCTCTCAAGTGTCCAGCTGGTGAGCCCTGTCTCAAGGAGGTCACGCCACAGAAGCCCCTCTGCACCTGCCCAGTTAAAGCCTTCACGTGACCCTGGCCAACGCCCAGCAGGAAGGGACTGCCAGACAGACTCCTCCCCTCCAGGCTGAGCACCTGCGTCCTGCTGGCCCAGAACATGTGGACACACCAGCTGTGCCAGCCTCCAGCAGTCCCCACGGGCCCCAGCCCCCCGGCTGACTGGGGTCAGAACCAGAGGGAGTCTGCTCTTGAGTTGTCTACGCCTCCTGGCCATAGCCACCAACTGCCCCCTGGAAGAGGCTCACGTCAGCTGACCTTGACCCAACAGTGAACACCCCAACTCCACACAGGAGGACAGGACCTCGGGAGTCCCCATTACAGCCCCCATCAGGCTGCCCACCCACTGCCCAAGGGAAGTGTCCCAGCCTCTCAAACCAACGAGAGGACAAAGTCATCTCTTATTCGGGGTCACATGAGACAGCAAGCCGCCATGGGCACCGGGGAGTCTCTGTACAGCATGGACCTGCTCCCACCGCTGGCTGAGGGTTTTTGAAAGTTAAGATTTCACACACAGGAAAAACGCATCTGCTCAATGTTCTGCCTCCTGAGTCCCTCAGGTAACATGGCACACCTGGGAGGGGTAGAGACCTCCACAGAGATGCCCTTGGCTGGCAGTGGGTGGAGGGAGGCCCAGCAGAGCCACACACGCCGGCAGCTGGGCCCTGCAGCAAGCACAGGCAACAGGTCCACTGTTGGTCACAGGACGCCCAGCTCCTCAGCACACACAGCAGCTCTGGCCCCACAGGCCACCTCAGCACTGGGTAGAGATGGATTTGTGGTTCACAGACACCAAGAGCACAGAATTGAGGAACAAAGACAAAATGATTTTTTTCACAGGAGTGGGTCAAATACACAGAAGTGGTAAATCAAAGAGCAATTTTAAGTTGATCAAAAAACAAAGAACGTCGAAGATGCATCAGTGCCCAGCTACACACAGTGAAGTCACCACCTGCTGCCTGGTGGCCCCCAGGCACAGCACCTTCCAAACACTAACTATGCAGGTGACATCATTAAGCAGAGACATAGAGGAGGAAGATGTTGGCAATTTAGGGAGTCATAGATCCTAAGCCTGAGAGGGTACTCACCAGCCTTGCCCCTGAACCCAGCCATCCATCCCTCCTTCCCAGGCAGCCAGCCTCTAGGAACCAGACATGGATCTGCTGTGAAAGGAACTTGGAGCCTGTCTCCAGGGCAAACAAAGTTCTGGACCACAAGTGCGGAGCCTGTGGAGCAGGTGGGACCCAGGGAATGGGCTGAGGCTCTCCTCCTGCCACCAGCGCAGCACGTGGAAAGCTGCAGGTGTGAAGGGAAGAGGGCAGTGTGGCCAGCTGGGCAAGACACACAGCTCAGCCTCAGTGAGAAAGCAGATTTTCAACTTCAGCACAACAGCCCGGGTGCTTCCCCAAGAGAAACCTGCTCATTTCTAGTGAACACAAGCATGTCTTAAACACTAAGGCCAGACAGAGCCCACACCCCCTGACCCACCCTTGGCCACCTGCCAGGCCCCAGCCCTGCCTGCCGGGTCAGAGTTCTGCACTAAGAACACACGCAGAGTGTTGGATAGGCATCGAGTTTTATATTTTTAAGTGACCAAATCTAATAAAATGAAAAACAGGTTACTAAAACAGGTCCAAAAGACAATACGGGAGATTAGCTATAAAACCAAAGCGTGAGGCCTCCTCGTGGATATGGAGCCCCGCAGCCCCTGCCGGATGCCATGGCGAGCATGGGGGCTGGGGATCTCACGTTTCCTCCAAATCCAAACTACACGCTTTGGTTCTTGTTTTCCTTTTAAAGGTTTTTAAAAAGCTAACCCCAGGAGTCAGCCAGGCCCGCCCTGTGCTCAGCGGCACGTCCAGCTAGCCCACGTCGAGCTCGGGCCCAGCGTCCTGTGTGTCCGACCCCTCTGCTGGTCGTGGTGGTGGCTCACTCCTGCGCTATGCTCCTCAGCACATACTTGACCGTGTAGGCGAAGGCCGCAAACCCAACTATAACAAACAAGTTCGCCAGGGCCCCGCCCAGGAGTCCATGGTGCCGGTTGGCCTGCTGGAGCCCCGCCAGGTGCGGCCCGGCCCCCGGCGCGTGCCCATTGAGGAGCGGGAGCCCGTGCTGGCCATGGTGCGTCTCCCCGTCTGGAACCACGTCCGGTAAGGGGAGAGCCTGTGGTCTGCTACTGAGTTCGTCTTGTGCTTTCTGTTTTTGCTTAATTTCCTAAGAGAAAAACAGCAAGAAACAAGGGTTGGTTTAAACAAGCCAGTTCCTTCAGTGCCTAGGAGGGGACTGTGGTATACCACAGAGACCCTGCAGGGTCAGTGGTCTCCAGCTGCACCCATTTCATCCTGACAACTGCCCTAGAAGGTTGAGCTGCTGCTAATCCTAACAGACGCAAGGACCTATGGGAACAGCCAGAATCACCATGCCTGTGCCTCAGGGACTGGGACTGAGCCAGGTCCGAGCTGCTCTGACCCACCAGGGCCCCAGCGTCCATGCAGCCCAGCCTCCCCTGCTCACAGCCACATTCTCTGCTCTGGCATCAAGACCAGGGAGTATGCCCACCCCTCACTCTTGGCCACCTGTGACCTCAGCAGGCCCACCACCCTTTCCCTGACCTGCCCCTATCTCCGACTCACCCTTCAGCCCCAAGGTGCCCCAAGGAGAGGGGCAGGTCTGCAGCACCTGCCTGTTTCCACCTCAGTTCCCCTCTCCATATTTGTAGCACAAGAACACACAGGAATACATTCTCTTGGAAAAAATAGAATCAAAGTGTTCCTGACTTGGGAAAGCAAACCCAATGGCAAACTCACTTTCTTACCTCCACAACTTCAGGAAATAATTCACAAAACACTTTGTCTTTTAAATTAAACACTAAACTTTGTGCAGCCAGTTGTCTTTTCTAGGAAGAAAAAGAAGGAAAATGTCAGCCTGATGGCTAATTTCAGTTCCTTCATGTTCCATAAGCAGACTAAGGGACAGCTGAGCGACTAGTGTCTTCATGTTGTGGAAAGCAGTCCACAGCGTGCTCCTCAGGACAGACTGAGATGGAGTCTCCCAAGGTCGTTTTTACCTTTCTGTATCATCAACTGATCTTAGACTTGATGCCAACTAATAACGGAGGAGTCCCTGTCCTAACTGGGCTGAGGAGACCAAGCGTCCTCCCTTACCCCCACCAAGCTCACCGTGAAGTCTGATGTCTCGATGCTGCCCAGGGTGGGGCCCTTCTCCACCATAAAGCTGAGAAGCCCCGTCAGGATGGTGGAGACGGACCAGGCTGGGTTCCATGTGTCTGGGTGGAAATCCGTGATAGAAAGACACAGCCTGAAAAAGGGACCCAGTCAACAGGGCACAGGTTCCTCAGGACCCCAGTCCGGCATCCAAACGCACAGGGACATCTTACCTTGTATTACACTTAAATCTTCCATTGGGAGTTATCATATAAATACTAGGAGGTTTAAAAGGAAATTCTCTGGGAAAAATTAGTTTTCCGTGATAATAGCCACCTGCAACAGAAGAGAGAAGCAGCCTTGTCATTGCCACAGTAGAGGCAGCCCTCACAGTCCTCAGTCCCCTGCCCACCCTGCTCCTGCCCACCAGCCCTGGAACACACATGTCGTGCTGGCCATCTCACTGCAGCTCACAGACTACCAACCTAGAGAGGCCTTACCACCCACCTCACCCCAAGCCGACCGCAAGCCCCTCTTCCCCCATTGCACACCTCTCTTCCCGAGAACAGAACATTAAGACAGAATCTGCACAGGCTCCTCACTGGCCCTACCCCATATTCTGGTCCCCTCATTCCTGCACCTCTTGCCTCCCTTTCTCCACCAAACCACACCCAGCAACAGGTGAAAAGCCATCATTCCCTGCCCCCCAAAAAATGAGTAAACAACAAAACGCTGACCCCTCCCCCTCCCTAAGGCCTGTGAGCTGCTCCCTCCCCTGGAGAGCCTCAGGCCCACCCAGACTGGCAAGGCAGAAGAAAGTCACTTGACAGGACTTCCAGCAACATGCACCTGTCTGTGCAAGTGTATGCATACACAATGAGGCTTAAGGGAGCTGCCATCTTCCCACTGGGGCTCCCTGCTGGCCCCCAGCCCCACAGGTCTCTGCCCAACTCTCTGACTGCCTGGGGCACTCTCCCATGGTGGAGTGATGGAGGCAGAAGAGTGATGGTGGTGGAGGGGTGATGAGCAAGTGCCACCTGAAGCCAGGTCTGCATGTAGACAAGCCAGCCAGCGAGGGATTAACTCTAGAGACAACGCTGGAGCACACCCGCACCACAAGCACTGAGAAAAGCCAAACTGGAAAAAGCGCAGGAGATGGAAACAGGCGTTCAGCTCAGAGGAGCAGGAGCACCCACGCACATTAGTGGGGACCACTAAGTGGGCGCCCCCCCACCCACCAACCTGCCTGGCCAATCCAGAGAGGCCATTCAGCAGCACCTGCAGCCGCTGGTCCCCAGCAGGAAGGCCTCCGCACGCAGTCACACACACTGAGGGGCTGGGGCAGAGCCACGAGCAGGGCCTGCAATTCTCCCAGCACCCAGATGCCTGCTTTCCACCGCAGAGCATCTATCGCAGGCGGTGCATCTGAGGGTGTGAGAGGCCAGGGCCAGGGGTGGGGGTGGGGGCAGCGGGAGGGAGGGGTCTCTCCTCTGGCTTCATTTCAAGGGTCCTGGCCAAGCCCTAGGACAGACACCACTGAGAGTGCCCGGCTCCAGAGGAGGGAGGCCTAGGAGAAGCACACCAGGGGCTACAGCAGTGCTGCCCCTGACCCAATGTCGGGGAGCCGAACCCGCACTTCCCTCCAGGGCCAGCACACCATCCAGTCAACATGATACCACCACGAGTCTCAGAACCAGGCACAGTGACTACTTCCACTTTATGATTTCAAAAAACCATTTTAGCTTCTCTGAGTCCCTCACCTTTCCATGTAAGTTTTAGAACCAATTTTTAGAATAAGCCTGTGTGCATCTACAGAACACTGTCCTAGGAATTTAAAGGATTAAAACCTCTAAACACAAATCAACACTCATGTGTCAGGAAGCCCACTTGAACTGTGAGCCTTGCAGGTCTGGAGCAGCACTGACAGAGCTCAGAGCAAATACGGGGTCAGCGGGCAGCTGACATGGGACCAGTCAGATGTGGACGTGGGAGAGGGGCTAAGGAGACTGGGAGGGAAGGGTCAGAACACTCAAAAGTCAGAGGAGCAAACAAGGAGGGAGCCAGAGTCTACGCATAAGAATCCACACAGGCCCAGACACTGAGGCCCGAGAGCCGTCCATCACGTGCGGCAGCTGAGGGTCCCTTGGAGACCCTGATGTAGCAGAGTCATTGGAGGATGGCAGTGTGGACAGCAGGGCCCTGAGCTGAGGAGGGGGACAGGCACCAGGAGGGGCACAACGACAAGTGCTAGGGGAAGGGGGAGGGTAGTGGCAAGGTGGGCAGCAGAAAAAGCCCTCGTCTCTGAAGGAACCCTCCCGAGGAGGAAGTAGACTGTCCCAGCCCAAGGACCAGGAACAGCAGGACACACAGGAGAGCAGACCAGATGCAGGAGAGCAGAGTGTCGGGGCTGGGCTGGGGAAGAAGAGACTTTTATCGTCAGTCAGAGCAGCTGGGGGATGGGGAGGTTCCTGCAGTCAAGCCCCACATCCCTCTTATATGGAAAACACTAAATCCACAAACAATAAAAAACCTTTAAACCCAGGCATAACCCTACTTGCGAAAGAACACTGCTCGTTCTTAATGTCTCTTTAAGTTTGTTAAAAACACAGCGTGTATTTGATAAGTACGATCCACACAGGCTGTCCTGCAGCCCATCTTCTGCCCTGTGGTCTGGAACCCCACGCAAAGCCATCACCAAGCCGGATACCCTGTGGTAAAAATGACATGCCTTCTGCACTGTTTCCTCAGGACAGGGGATTCCTGAGCCAGCAGAGTCCCATGAGGCTAGTGACGTTTCTGCCAGCCTACCCACAAGGCTTGTGAGTGGCTTGTGGGTCACCCCACCCTTCCTCCCAGCAGCACAAGTCCTCTAGGGAAATCGCATACAGAACCCCATGGCAGGAAGACGCAAGCAGGCTGCTCCAGCCACCAGAAGTCAGGACCCAGGCCTAGAGAGCAGCCTGTCTGGCCACAGCTCTCCCCTAGGCTCCGGCTTCACCTGGAGGCTGCCTCTAGGGCTCAACTTGAGCCCTGGAGACTCGCTGACTGCCAGCTCCAAGGCCTATTCACAAACACCGGAGGCCACTGGGTGGCAGCATCCAACCTTGCCAAGCCCTGCGGGCCCCCACGTTTTATGCCCCACCAATACAATGTGCAGCTCTTGAGCTCAGAGGACACTGCACAGAGCAAGCACTTGGGAAATGACTTCCTTTCCCTCAACAACGCACACGCTGGTCTTCCTCTTCCCCATCTGCTCTCCCAGCTCTGACTCCACTGAGATAGGAGGCTGAGCAAACTTGATACTTGAGCAGTCCCTGAAGACAAAGAGGTGAAATGAAGTGAAGTGAAAGTCGCTCAGTCGTGTCTGACTCTTTGCAACCCCATGGACCATACAGTCCATGGAATTCTCCAGGCCAGAATACTGGAGTGGGTAGCCATTCCTTTCTCCAGGGGATCTTCCCAACCCAGGGATTGAGTTGAAGATGGAGACACATCAGCAAAACCAAACTGTGAGCAAACACCTCTAGGATTTGGAGGAAACCAGAACAAGCTCCAAATGTGTGCAGTCTACTTCCTGCACATCCAAACCAGAAAGAGCATCACTGACAAACAGGAGTTTCTCGGGTAAGGTCTCTTTGGAACACAGACACTGCCTCTTGTTCATCTAACTCAGAGCAAAGACTTACCTTCATAGGGAGTCATCTCAGGGCCTCGGACCACATAGTGCCTGAGGGAGGAGAGAAAATGAGTTGGCTTTGGGGATGGCATCACTCCAAGGTTGGGGTTTTTAGGGCCCACCTGAAACTAATACACTCACAGATATTCAGCAGGTGACTAAACTCAGCCAGCTACACAGCTCCCTGCCTCTCCAACAGAATCAGAGAGGCTATGCCCTCCAAATTTTCTACAAAGTGCCTCTGAATCCACAACACAGTATACAAAAAGCTAACCCTCTCTGACCATTAACATCAACTGACAATTTAAAAACTCACTTCACAGGACCTCCCTGGTGGTCCAGAGGTTCAAACTCGGCACTTCCAATGCTGGGGGTGCAGGTTTCAATCCCTGGTTAGGGAACTTAAGATCCCACATGCCATGCAATGTGGGGGCAAAAAACAAACAAAAAAAAAAACCCCAAAATTCACAATTTATAGTTGAGATGTACTTGAAATCTGATGTTTTTCAGTGTGCCCAAATATCATGCAGTAGCTCACCAGGAAAAGCTGGAAACACAGAGAGACTGTGCCCCTGGCCCTGCCACCCTGGAAGACTCAGACGTGACCTCGAGAGCAGCTATCTTCCAGCAGGAGGGACAGGGACAGTTCGTGATGGTCACCAAAGGCCTCACACAGAGGGACCACAGCCCCATGGACTCTGCTCTCCACACAAATAAACAACACTTCATCTCTATGGCAAGAAGCATTGGAACTGCTAGATTTTTTTTTTTTTTTTTTTTTTGCTCTGTGTGATTGATGGGATCTTAGTTCCCTGACCAGGGACAGAATCCAGGCCTTTGGCAGTGAGAGCTGAGTCCTAACCACTGGACCATCAGGGAAGTCCTGAACTTACGAATTTTCAAAGAAAACAGAAAAGCACAAAGAAGAATACAGAACTAACCAGAAACACAAGACCAGACACAACTGCGCACACATGACTAACCACCTCTCCAAACACTACTTCCCACCAGGACGCTTTGACAACCCCTGCTCTCTACTGGCTGATAGGTCAGATTCAAAAAATACTATCATCTTATGTCAGCAGACCAAGAACACACTGGGAAAGGTGGCCTTCAATTGGGGAATGTGGCCTTAATTTGTCACTGTTCCCAATTCCTGTGTCCAATCTGAGGACAACAGGAAGAGCCAGGCAAGCAGTGCTCTGAGAATGCCTGACAGACCCAGGGCAGGAGAGTGAGGAAGGCTGAGAGTGCAGACCTCTCCAGAAGAGTGCTCTCTTCTCCAGTGGCAGGGACAGACACCCCGGCTGGGAAGAGCACACACAGCAGGCCCAACACGGCCATCCTCAGTCAGTGTCTGGAACTGGATGTCAGGGGGTCTCATCACCTTAACGGCACCTCGACCGTTTGGGCAAAAATGTGGTCAGTGCTGAAAGGAAGCCTGCTGTCCTGGGAGTATGGAATACTAGGGGGCTCCAGGCGGAGGTTCCTGTGACCCACTCCCCCTGAAATCTCTGGTGCTCAGTCCCAAAGGGGCTTCCCTAAGGATGACCCGCCAGCATACAGCTTGTCACAGCTCGTGGCAAGGAAGGGAAGCCTGTGTCTGGTCTCCAATGGACTCTGCCTCGCACCTCTCCCTCTGCAGTGGGTCTTCCTGGTGAACAGTAGAACCTGGGACCTGACCCCCACTCAGGAGGGTTCCCCACACGAGGAGGATGTCCCCTAGACTGCCACAGAGCCCATCTTCCATCTGCTAGCTACATCCTGGGGGGGCGAGTTCTGCTGTGACATTGATGTCTCCCACACACACCAAGGCTGGACTCCCTGAGACCCTCTGCCCACCTGCCAGCACTGACCCTTCTCTGCAAGCCAAGGAATGTGGATCCAAAATCCTTGAACACCTGTCCAACCTGGAAAAGACTTTTTATTAACTCAGATCTCTTTCTTCTAGGTCTAAAATTTTTTTTACAGTATTTAAGATCAAAACATAAAATATTAAATACCCTCCAAACAGAAAAAATGCTCCTTGATGTTTCAGCCCTACACTGTTTCTCACAAAATCACCAGCACACCTGATAAGGGCAGCGCCTCTGTGGCATGGCAAGTTCCATGAAATGCACGTCCACAGGCACAGAGCAGGGTTCAGGACCCATCCCCCATCACAAACTTGCCAACGTAGGACAGGCCAGCTCACAGCATCAAGAAGCAAAGAACAGAGAAGGAGAATCAAGACAAGGAGCTTCTCCAACAGGCGTTGAGTCTGCAGGCCCCAAAGTCACCCCTAGGATGGACCCTCTCTCTGGCTCCAGCGTGCAGAGCTCAAAGACAGCCTGCCACATCCCGGGTTGCGGTCCATTGTAAAGACAACCAGAGAGCATCTGCAGGCCTCACGGTCCACTCACACCTGATGAGGGTACAGGAACCCCCTTCCCAAGCTAAGAGGGCCCCTCCGGCCCTAAGCCCGTCAGGGAGAAGCCAGGTGGCAGGTGGTGCAGGGAAGGAGGCGGCAGAGCCTTACCACTCAAGGATGTTGGAAGGGAGGGGCTCGGCACAGATGTAAGGCACGGGGTCTTTCTTAATCCGGAGATAGTCCTGCTTCAGGCGCTGGGTCGCTGTCGTCGGTGCTCTCTTACCACTGTTGCTGCTCATCTGTGGAGACAAGTCTACACTGACACAGGACAGAGCAAGGCAGCCCCCACTGCCCACACCTCTGCCACCCAGAATCAAGGCCCCTGGGCCGCTCCAGTTTGCCCGCCCTCTCAGACACCCATGAGCCTTGCAGAGTTTCCTTCCCCATGTGTCCCAGCAGGTCCTTCACCAATGTGACTTTTGTCAGATACAAAGGTTAAGAGAGACCCTGCAAACTCACCTGCGTCCTTGAAGAACCTTGAGAGGGAGAAAGCCCTTGAATTCGACGGTCATGAGTGGAGGCGAGCTAAAGCCAGCCCCAGCCACCTGCCACGTGCATGTCTCCCCCAGCGCTACGCAGGGTGGTGCCATGTCCCTCCCAGAGCTCCTTGTTAAACGTTTCCCAGGACATTTACCACTGGCCACAGGGGGGTGGGAGGAACAAGGGAATAGAGAAAGAGCCTCTTTCTGGGACTGGAGAGAGAGAGGGGACCCCGGAGAGACCCAGACACACGTGCAGGACAGAAGAGGAAGCAGGAGCAGCTGGACAGGCAAAGGTTAGGAAGCGTGCTGTGACCAGGGCACAGCACCGGGCCACCGCAGGAGCCAAAGCACTGTGAATGGTAGCTGACGAGGCCGACCAGGGACTAGAGGCCAGGCCGTCAGGTGGCACCCCACAAAGTTTTTAGGCCCAAGTCTTAAGGCAAATCAGATCTTCCGTTAGAAAGGGCACTCTGGAGACCCAGCAGAGGATGACTGGGACAGACAAGATGGCACAGGACAGTTCTGAAGGCGGGGATGGGAGGGAGGCAGCAGCCATCATTCAAGGGAAGAGATCTGGCCTGGGTCAGGGGACCTGGGACACCTCAGCTCTGCTCCAGAGACAGGAAGGCGGGTCAGGGAAGTGGAAGACGGGCTCCCCACTCTCAGGGGCACCAGAACAGCTCCAGCTCCATCTACTTAACAAACTAGAACATCTCAGAGATGGAAATTAGGTGCATAAGCAAAAAAGTTCTTCTGCTAAAAATAAAGTAAGAAAGCCACTGGTGTAAAACGCGGTGGAGATGGAGGACACACAAGGTGTGCAGCACAGGATGGAAAGAGAGGGGAGGCTGACTAGACAGGGCAGCAAGTGAGGAATCACTCTGCCCAACCTGTGTTTCCAGCCTGTCCCACCACAGCAGGACGTCAGCAGCCAAACCTCCACGCAGACCTCCCAGCCAGTACCCACTTGGCACTGCCCCCCGCACCAGGCTGGGCCCCCCGCACCTCACTTGCACCTTTCCTCCCATCAGTCTCTGCTCACAGTGCCTCATCAGAGCCTATAGACTCCTGCCCAGTGCCCATGGGATCCGCCTCAGAGCACCTGCCCCTGCAGATGACAACCAGGGCCTGCTGTCTCACCGTACCCCCAGGGTGCCGCAGAGGTCCCTCCACATGCCCAGCCCTGCTTCCTGCTCTGGGGTCCCTAGACCTCAGATACCCATATGCCCCAACTCTCTCCATCCCACCACACCCCTGATGCAGGGACCACTACGCTGCCCATCAGTTATCACGAGATGTCCGACCAGCCTCTGGCTTCCAATCTCCCCCCATTTCAGTCCATCCTGTTCACTGAAGTCAACTGACCCTTCTCATCGCACAGTTCAGGTCACAACCTTCAGGAGTCACTCAGAACTGAGCAAATAAATGTCAACACCTCTGCCACCTGCCAAGTCCTCAGCCCCAGGCCACCCTCTATCCCCCAATTCGGACTCCCACAGCCTGAGCCAACCCCGCCTCACCCCAACCATGTGGCCACACCCCAGCCCAGCCTCTACCAGTGGATGCCTCGCCAAGGCCCTGCCCAGTCCAATGCCCAACTCCCCTGGTCAAGTGCCTCCACATTCTGCCCTTTGCTAGCCTTCCTGCCACCCAGCTGCATATCGCACAGGTGCCACCAGGCCCCAGCAGACACTCCTGGATGGGTTGCCCACTGCAGGTGGTTAGGGTCTAGCCTTATAGGGGAGCGCTCCCCCAGCACTACCCCCAAGTTCCAGCCAGAGACAGCAAGAGGGCCAAGTGGTTCGCCATGGACAACATCTAGTAACAAACACTATGACAAATCAAAAGCAAGACCACCACCCAGGACTTGTTTCCTTTAACTGTTCACCCTAAGTCTGACATTCTGCCACACACAAACCAATTCACGGGATAATTCAAACACACCTGTGCTTGAACTCAATTAAGTGGCCAACTTCAATGCTTCATGAAGGTTAGAGCACAGCCACACAAAACAAATAAAATAGATCCTGCCTGGGTCCTCACAAATGAACTTTCCTCTCCCTCTTGCTTTCGAAGTCAAAATCTTTAGAAGCCTACTTCCAATTCAACTGCTCCGTTTATTAAAGGAAAGGGTTCCCTTGGCCTCACTCAGAGCAGTGCCCTCAGGCCCCTCCAGGTGACAGGTGAGCCAGTTTCTCCCTCTTCCCCGGGCACACAGGGTGCATCTCGGGTGCTTCTACAGACCCCGAGGTTCATCTCAAGGCCCCTTTAGGCCAAGTCCCCACAGACAGAGCACAAGTGTTACGGGAGACATTCAAAAATAAAACAAGCAGCACAGTCCACATACAATACTTCAGTGCAGACTGCTTGAAGGCCAGGAGCCTGAACCAACATCCCGGCAAGAGTCCCTTCAGTACCAAGTGGACACAGACTCGCCCCTCACCCAGCACTGCCCACCCAGGGACTCTGGCTCCTTTCTCTCCGCCCAGAGACCTTGGTCTGACCCACCAGAGTGCATGTGACACCCCCGTGCCCAGGACTCGCATGGAAGTCTCTCCCTTCACCAGTGGGATTGCTTCACGGCTGAATGGAGGCCCGCTGCTGATGGGGGCCACCGCACCTGTCACTCCTGCACCTGCAGGGACCGGCTCGGCTAAGGTGTAGCAGATGACAGGGACCAGTTCTAGGCACTGGCATCCAACTGTACCTGCAGAGAGGCTGGGCTTTTCAAGTAAGCAAGACCCTAAAGTTACACCGAGAGTTCCCTCACCCAGAGAGAACAGAGCCCTGACCACTGCCCAGAGAACTCTCAGGCCCTCACTAACTCCCCGGGGGCTACCCCGGGACCTCTCAAAGCATTTCCGGGCCGGGCCCGGCGTGAGTTTGAGAATGGATGTGAACTAAACACAGACCAGCTAAGTGGTGTTAACTGGGAAGGGGCCAGAAGCATACACCTGGCCAGGGGTGGACCGGGACAGATAGCTGGCAGACGGGGAGAGCAGGCAGGCACAAGTGAGGAGCCGGCCCAGGGCCCTCTCCAGCCACCCAGCATGGAGTTTCCCCAGTCTGACCGCCCGAACTTTCTGTTTCCACCCCAGACGTTCATTGCTCGGCTGACTTAAGAGGCGGTATGGGGTCTTAACCGATCGAGATGAAGCGGCGGCGGCGGCGGGCTCAACGGCAGCCAACCCACCCCGACACCGATTCCCAAGATACGTTTACAAACCAAGCTCTACGCCGGCTCGTCCTGGCGGCGCCCGCAAGTGTGCCACTAACGGGAGCCTTTCCATGGGACGTCAGCCGTGTGGCCACCCGAATCCCCAAGTTGACCGGAGGGAGGACGACCCGGCCCGGAGCCCCGGGCGCCCCGCTGTAACCGACCTCGGGTTCCGCGCACAGAAGCTCCGGGCTGGGCTCCGCGAGCGCGGACGCGGGGAGGACGGACCGTGCGGAGGCCCCACGCTCCCCGCTCCGGCCGGCTCCGGGGGGGCGGACGCGCGGAAGAGGCCCCGGTGGAGGCCCGCGGCGCGCGCTCACCTCTCCCCGTCGCCGCGCGTGGGCCGCCGCCGCGCTCAGGCTCGCCGTGGTCGAGGCCGGAGCAGGGAGAGGGGAGTGGGGCCCGCGCCGCAGAGCTGCACCGCGCCGGGAGCGAGCCCACCCGACCGCAGCCGCTACCGCTACCGCCGCCGCCGCCGCTTTTGCTGCCGCCTCAGCTTCCAAGATGGCCGCCCACGGGGCGGGGCAAGCCCCGCTTCCAGTTCCGGGGCGCGGTTAGCTGAGGCGGCCGCTCTAGACGGCCCGGCGGAGGTAGCCTGCATCTCGCTGTCGCCTTTAGTCCCGGGAGGCAAAAGCAGTCAGCGCATGCGCACTGGCAACAGCGCCGAGGGGCGGAGAATGAGCTCAGAGCAGGTCTGATCCAATCAGCCACGGCTGGCCCTCCTGTGGGTCTCTCGGCCACATCGCTGTCAGCGGCCGCAGGGGTCCGGGGCACCCTGCACGTTCCCCTTCTCATGATCCCCTGCCTTCCGCGGGAAAACAGGCTCAGTTAGAGGGTAACCCCCGAGATGCCGGGATGAGCCCCGCCCAAGTTCCCTGGTACCTCGACCCTCCCACCGCCCCCTTCCAAAGGATCAGCCCAGTCCCGCCTGGAGGAGCCAGTTCTTGTGCCCACTTAACAGGGAAGCGCTGGAGGCAGTCCGCGTCCCCGGTGACCGAACCACCCGGGTCCCTGAGAATCGAATCCTGGTTGACCTTCTGTGACCGCAGTGATTGTGGAGCCAGGAGCCCCACTGGAACCTGTGCCAGGTGGGGTCCGGCGAAAGAATCCTGCCCAGCCCCTGCCCAGGGGGAAAGCTGTCCTCATAAAAAGAGTTGCACTGTTTCCCGACTGAATTTTCCGCCCAGCTCATGAATAGGGTCATTATGCAGCAGTAGACGCTGCACTGAGGCTCACTTCTGCTCCCACGGTCCCCTCCCAGGCCCTGGGGGAGGGGGAGGCAGAGCAGGGAGGTGGGCTGGCCAGGGAGGTCCCTGGGGAGCAGAGAGTATGTCTCTGGGACAGCACTGGGGCAACAGTTTGGAGCAGGTGAGGATGGCATACGGGTGGGGGTCTGGATAAGGGAGGGCTGGGCAGTGGGCAGGCCAGCACGCTCCTCACCACCCTTCCTAGTGAGTGGGGGCTGGGGTGTGCCCCCACAGGGCTGTGCCAGGGCACATGCTGCACTGACTCTGAGACAGGCCTTGGTCATCAGCTGGGACCAATCCAGAGAGGCTGTCACTAGGTAGATCTGGGGTTCAAACCCCAAAGTCTCACCCTTGACCACAACCCTGACTACCTCTCAGTATACACCACCGGTCAATGGGGTTACTAACCACATGACGATTGACAGTGGACTCCAAGCTCCAATGGGTCCAGCCATGGCCACTGGCAGAGGGCAGGCAGGGGGCCATGATCGCCACCAAATCTGGCCTACCCAGGGCACCTCAGACACAATATGAGCAGTCACTGCAGGGCTGGCCCAGGCCCAGGGGCAGAAACAGAAGTGCCCATCGCCCCTCAGGCCAGCACCAGGCCAGCCAGCCTGGGGGAAGCAGCCTGCTACCTCCCCCTGCTGCAAGTGAGCTTCGCTGGCCCTGGCCCACCTTCCTCATGGGGAGGCTGGCGGTCCCAGGCCCCACCTCCTGCTGCCACACTCAGAAAACATCTCAGGCTCCCTTCTCTCCCCTGCCTCCTCTGGGCTCTGCCATCCCCACGCAGGGCGGGCCCAGCTGTTTTTAGCTTGAGGAGAGTTATGTAAGGGAGGCTGCCCTGAGGCGCTGGGTGTTTCAAGCGCAGGTGTGAGAGAGACACAAGACCAGCCCCTGAGCCCCACATGGGAAACATCACACAGTCAGCCCATCTCCAGGGGCCAGTGCCTCAAGGAGCCCCCTCCTTGGTGTCTGGAAGCCCTGCTTGACACTGCAGTCAGCACCTGGGGGACAGGGAGGGGCTGCAATAGCACTGAGGAGGCCTCCTACCTGTCAGTGGGCAGGGACTCCAGATGGCCCAGCCCCCCAGGCTGGGGAGGACGCCCCCAGCCCCCAGAATCTGGGATACATGCAGAGCCCATTGGCTCAGACTTCATGGCTGCTGCACCAGAATCCTTCCAGGGCCAACTCTTAGCTGTCTCTGAGGGTGGAGACACCCACGGGTGTGAAAGTGGAGCCCAGGGGTCCCGTGAAGTGCTGGGTGCCCACAGTCTGGAAGGAGGTACATTGGTGTCCCTAGGTCCAGCTTCAGGGAAGGCCACTGCTTGAAGGCTCAATGGGGCCATGCTCAGCAGGCTGGGGCCAGCCGTCCCTCTGGGGAGAGGGTGGGGGAAATAGGACCCTAAATAATTTCTCTAATTCTCTCAACACACAGCTGTCAAGGAGCAGCCACATGAGCCCCTGTTGTGTGAGGAGCTGGAGATGCCCTGTCTGGTCCCAGCCAGCTCCTTCTGCTCCTCAAGGCGCTGGAGGAGCCTGGGGAGGCAGGAGAGGGGTCAGGCAGGGAAGGGAGGAGGGCGCTGCTAGCCTCGCTGCCACTGGACACAGTCTCTGTGTCTCTGACCTCCCAAAGGTGGGTTTTGGGGCCTTCTCAGAAGCAGGAAGATAGAGCTCTGACGCTGGCCCCGTGACATCGGTTGGTCTCACCTTTGAGTCTCGAGTCTCAAGAGGAAACTCAGCCCACTTTGTGCTTGAGGAAACAGGCTCAGAGAGGTTGAGTAATTTGTTCAACGTCACACAGCTGATGACTGAGGAAGCTGTGATTCGCACTCACACCTAGATGAGTCCAGGGCCAGCTCTTCCCTGAGCGTGACTTCCCTCTCCAGAGGTCCCCAACTGCCATCTGCCCCTTCCAAAGGCAGGAGGCTGATGACCTCACCCCTCCTCAGAGCCAAGCCCCCACCAGAAGGGCCTAGCGAGGATGGGGGCTTCCTCCCTCATCTCAGCATCCATTTGGGGTGGTCCGTCAGGAACCCAGAGCCTGTGTGGGAGGGGCAGAGGGCCAAGCGGAGGGTCTGGTCATTTGGGATGGTGAGGCCCTGGCCTCATGGAGCCCTGTTGAGTTCCCCGTGCGTCCTCCTGGGGGCTCTCCAGCCTTTCACACACTGTTTGGCCCCAGGCAAGCACTCTGGGGCCGAGGATTTCAGCCGTGCGGTGGTGGACTTAGACCCTGAGTGTGATGTGTGGTTGGTGCAGAGTCTTTGGGCCTCCCGGGAGGCTGAGCTGTGGGCACCACCTGCCCACCCAGGCCCCAACTCACTCCCACAGTAGGTGCCTGTCCCAGGGGCTGGGCAGCCAGCACCAGGGGACACCTGTGTTCTGGGAGTGGAGGCCCCTGCCCAGGGACCCCTGGCCACAAACACCTGTGGTTAGAGCTGGGCAAGTGGAGGTGAGCAAGCATTCTCCAAGGCCAGGCAGGAGGAGAGTGGACGGGGAGGGGGCCAGGCACCCCAGAGTCTACCAGTGTGGGGTCCCTCCTCACACTCCAGAAACCTGAAGCCCCTCACCCACTGCCAGGGCCAGGCCCCCAGACCTCACTTCCAGAAACGCGAGCAAGAGAGCCTTACTGAGGTGAAGGACCCTCATCCCTGCCCCAAAGGCTTCCCCTTCCGGGACCAGAGCAGGTGTGGCTGTCCCTGCCAGGCTCCGCCCCACCACCTCGCCCCACGCCCAGCCTGTTATAAACAGGAGGCTGCTTGGCCAGCCTTGGGCCACAGCCCACTTTGTCACCTGCTAGAACTGCCACCAGCACTACCACAGTCACCGCTGTTGCAGCCGCCAGCACCAGAGGATGGATGCCCATGCACAGGGAGGGTGCAGCCTCGAGGTACCAGGGCAGTCGGGGCAGGCCGTCACCGGGGTCTCCCCGGCTTGAGGTGGTGGGGTCGTGTCCCCCATGTTATCTGGAGCACAGGCACAGGAGGGGTGAGGGCAGAGGCTCCCATCTGCGCCTTTGTCATGCACCCCTTCTGAAAGAGGGCCTGCTGTGTGAGAGGAGTGTGTGTGTCTGTGCACAGCTGTGTGCGTGTGTGTACTGCATGAAAGGGTGGCACACCCCCACTCCTGCTGTGGCCGAGGTGTCGGGGACCCCGCCCCCCATCTCAGGAAGCCACCCTCCTCCTGCCTGGCAGCCCCAGCCAGGGTAGGAGGTGGCCAGTCTGGAAACATGGTTACTGGGGTCAGAAAGAACCTTCTGGAGGCCCTTATCCCTCGCCTGTATCATGAAACTGAAGGTCCTGCTGCCCTGTGAGGGCTCCATGTGGTCACGGGACACCTGTGCAGGCAGCACTCTGTGCCATAGGGGGCCAATCAGCAGCACCCATACTGGCACATTCTCCTGGCCTGGCTGCCTCCACAAACCTGAGGCCTGGGCTGACCACCCTCATCTCTTACCTGGGCCCCAGGCAGCTGGTGGGCACTGGGTGTCCAGGCCAGCATGTGCTGGCTGAGACGCACCAGGTCCTTCCTTGGCTCAGCCCCCTCCTCAGGTATCGGCCCAGGCCCGGTTGCCTAGAGGGGCCAGAACCCAGGAGGCTACACCCCAGGTGCGAGAGGCCTAATGATTCAGACCAAGATGGGGACACTCTGGAAAGCCCGTAGGAAGCCCAGGCAGTGACTCAGTGTGTGTCCTGGGCCAGCCAGCTTGACCTGGTCTGGGCCCCACGGTCCTATGCAGTGAGGGACCAAGGTCCCGGGATCCTGGAGCCTCTGGGTGGGAGTGGGGCCGAGCAGGCCTCAGGTCAACCTCCCTGGGCCCCTCAGGTCCCCACCATGTCTGGCCAGACTGCTGCCTACTTTTCTGGAAGCCTGAGGCCCACAGACGGAGCATCCCCAGACTCAGCTCTGTGGACAACACCCCCACCCAGGCCCACAGTGCCCAACAGGCTACAGGCCTGACCCTCGGCCCTGATGTGGCCAGACCTGTGTGGCTCCATCGGCCCCAATCCAGCATGGCCATGCTGGCCACTGAGGGTTGTTGGAGGCTGTTGGGGCCCAAGTTTCAGTCAACCCCCAGTGCTGGGCCCCAGGCCCACTCAGAGCAGGTCACCTGGTTGCCCCTCACCAGAGGCCCCTGCCCACTTGGCAGATGGCAGCAGAGACCCACCCAAGCCTCCAGCCTCGAGCCACCTGCAGACAAGGCCTGGTACAGCCTGGCGTCTATGTCCCCTGCTGACCCTGCCCCACCACCCAGGCTCGGCTCTGGCCATGATAAGACATTCCTGTGGAGGCTGCCTGGTGCCCCGCTTGTCACCATGGGAGTGGGTCCCACGTTATGGACCAGCTTCCAATGGGGTTTTTATCAAGTGTCAGCAAGCCAGGCTAGGCCACTGGTGCCTGAGGGATGTGACAATTCCAGGAGTTCCCAGGCAGGGAGAATGGAAGGCTGATGGCCCAGGTGGGGAGACCTGAGTGGGGTCAGGCCAAGTGGCAGGCTGGAGCATCGCTGAGTCTCACTTCTCAGATGCAGGCTGAAGGCACGGGCCAAACAGTGGGCGGGGGGCCAGGAACCTGGACGTGTTCCCAGGCACCCCCACCGACACTGCCCGAGGAAGAATGTGGAGAGAGGCTGGTAGAGCTGCACGCCTCCTTCAGGGAGCTGGTCACCTTCTTCTGCACCAACTCCACTATCCACGGCACCATCCGCCTTGTCTGCTCCAGCCAGAACCGCCTCAAGACAGCCTCCTGGGGGCTACTGCTGGCAGGAGCCCTGGGCCTGCTCTACTGGCAGTTCGCGCTCCTCTTCGAGCAGTACTGGCGTTACCCGGTCATCATGACAGTGTCCGTGCACTCGGAGCGCAAGCTCTTCCCATCAGTCACTCTGTGCGACATGAACCCACACCGGTGAGGGCTGGTCCAGCTTGGGGGCCCCTCCCCTAGTGCAGTCACAGCAGGACAACCCACCTCTTCCTGCTCTGTGCCCCAGGGGCAGGGCTAAAGGACAAGAAGAATAAGCTGAATGTTACTGTGACCAGTGCCAGGCTGGAGGGACCTTCAGGAGTTAGGCAGCCCTGGAGGGGGAGGGGAGGAGAGCCAGGGGCTTTCCAGAAGAGCAGGTGCCCAGGAGAGGGGAGCAGGGTAACACTGCAGTGTAGAGTCAGCGGAGCAAAGACAGGGAAGGGCTGTGAATGAGCCAGAGGAGGATGGGGTCCCGGGGGTGGGAGGCAGGCCAGGTCGGGGGGTCTGACTTCCCTCTGAAGCCCTGGCTCCATATTCAGAACCGCCTTCTAGGCTTCTGAAGATGGCAGGGGTTGGGGGGCTCCGGTCCTGTCCGTGATTTTGGGGTCAGTGCCTGGGGGCAAGCTTGGCTCTCTCCAAAGTGCTTGGCTCTCCAATGTGCTAAGGGGGCCTGGCTCTGACTCTCCCTCCTGCCCACCCTGCCCCTAGGCCACACTTAGCCCGCCACCATCTGCGGGTTCTGGATGACTTTGCCCGGGAGAACATCTACTCCCTGTATCAGTTCAACTTTAGCGACAGCAGGGACGCCCTGGGGGCCGAGGTCCCAGGTCCAGAGCCTGCCTTCCAGTTGGACCGTAGGATCCGCCTGCAGAGGCTGAGACCCTTGGACGGCCAGAACAGAGTGGGCTTCAAACTGGTGAGTGTCCAGCCCAGGGGGTCTGCATGGGACTCGGGCAGGCCAGTCGCGCCCACACTGACCCCATGCCCCACAGTGTAACAGCACTGGAGGGGACTGTGTTCAGCGGGCCTACTCCTCTGGCATGGTAGCCGCCCAGGAGTGGTACCGCTTCCACTACATAAACATCTTGGCCCTGCTGCCCGCTGCCCATGAGGACAGCCACGGCAGCCACTTTGTCTTCTCCTGCCGCTACGACGACCGGGACTGCCATGCCCAGTGAGTACAGACCGGTGTTCGCTCCCCCCACCCCACCCAGTGGTCTGCCGGCCCCGCGGCTCCCTCCAGAGACAAGGCAGCTGTGCTCCCCTCCCCACAATCCCAGGCCACACACAGCAGGGTGATGGGTGGAGAGCGTGTGCTTGTCTGAACATGGCCCCTGGTTCCAGGCACTTCCAGACATCCCACCACCCCACCTATGGCAGCTGCTACACCTTCAACAGTGTCTGGGCCACACAACGGCCGGGCGTCACCCACAGTGAGTGCCAGCCGGGACTAAGTGCGGGCGGGGTGTCCGGGCTGACCTGGTCTCACCCCTGGCCTCCCCCAGGGATCAGCCTGGTCCTCAGGGTTGAGCAGAAGGACCACCTCCCTCTGCTGTCCACGAAGGCCGGCATCAAGGTCATGATCCATCCGCAAGACCACACTCCCTTCCTGGAGCATCAGGGCTTCAGCATCCGGCCAGGGACGGAGACCACCATCGACATTCGTGAGGTGGGTCGCCCCTGCCTCCAGACTCTCCGCCTCTGTTTCCAACCCTGGGTGGGGCGCAGGACTTCCAGCTCAAGGCAGCAGGACTGAGTAGCCCCCCTTCCCCCAAGGATGAGGTGCACCGGCTCGGGAGCCCCTATGGGCAGTGCATGGACAGCACAGGCAGCGTGGACGTGCAGCTACTATACAACACCTCCTATACCAGGCAGGTGAGTCTGGGCATGAGGGGCAGAAAGGCAGGGCAGGGACCCAGGGAGGGGCTGGGGAGTGGGTGGGGGAGACCAAGGCAAGGAGACCCTAAGGGACGCTGGCAGTGGGTGGGGGAACAGGCCAGTGGGAAGGAGGGGAAGCAGGCAGGCTGGGGAGAAAGGCGGCTGCCCCAGACCCCCAGCTTCAGCACCCCCTGTCCCCCTAGGCCTGCCTGGTCTCCTGCTTTCAGCAGCTGATGGTGCAGACCTGCTCCTGCGGCTACTTCTTCTACCCTCTGCCGGCGGGGGCCGAGTACTGCAGCTACATGCGGCACCCAGCCTGGGGTGAGCTCCCCGCCCCGCCCCTACCAGCCTATTTGACCAACAGCAGACCTCCCCACCGCCCCTGGGTCGCTTCTCATAGGTTCACCCGTGACTATCTCCCCAGGTCACTGCTTCCACCACCTCTACCAGAAACTGAAGACCCACCAGCTTCCCTGCACCACCCGATGCCCGCAGCCTTGCAGGTGAGGGGGCGTGCTGGGCTCTGTTTGGTCTGTCAGGGGCCAGCACACAGGGGTGTGATGGGGCTGTCTCTCCCAGGGAGTCTTCGTACAAGCTCTCTGCCGGGACCTCCAGATGGCCTTCCTCCACATCAGCCGTGAGTCCCCAAAGCGGGGGGTGAGGGATGGACAAGTAGGGAGATCATGGGCAGAGAGCCCTCCCGGGACTGGCCTCTGTCCCTGCAGTCCTGCCCTCACACCACCTTGCAGTGCCCGAGGGCCAGGAGAAGCTGCGGCCACAGCAAGTTTTGTGTGTGCAGGACTGGGTCCTGGCTGTGCTGGGTGAGCCAAGCCGACGGAACCCATGGCCACCTTCTGCCTCCATCAAGTCCTGGCTGCTGCCCCTGCCTTCCTCGCCCTCCAGGGCCCACACAGAGGGCCCCACCAGTAGGTCTGGGGCTCGGCCCCTCTCACCTGTGCCCTGCCCCAGGATCAGCCTGGCCAAGGTGAACATTTTCTATCAGGAGCTCAACTACCGCATGGTGAACGAGACACCTGTCTATTCGGTGAGCTGCCTCCTGGGCCAGGGCCGGGAGGGGGCTGGGGCCAGTGCCCGGGCCTCTGCTCACCGCTGCCAACACCCACAGGTGTCACAGCTGCTCTCAGCCATGGGCAGCCTCTGGAGCCTGTGGCTCGGCTCCTCCGTCCTCTCAGTCGTGGAGGTGCTAGAGCTGCTGCTGGACGCCATGGCTCTCACCCTGCTGCTGTGCTGCCGCTGGCTCCGCGGGTCTCAGGGCCAGCCCAGGGCGGCCACGAGGGTGCCCCCTCCAAGTCAGAGGCCAGCCAGTGGACCAGTGGCTGCAGGCACAACATCGAATGCCCCAGGACCTGGCTGCCTTCACCTCCCACGATGCTGCCGGGAATTTAGCAGGAGTCTTGGCTGAGGAGTTCAGCCAAGAGTGGGCCCCAGAGACCCCTGACACCTGAACCAGTCTGTACCTGGCCTGATCCTGGGAGCAGTGGCAGCAGTGGGCTCTCCTGACTGCCCAGGGCAGGCCAGTCCAGCCCCGTGGGGCTTCCTGGGCCAACCAAACCAAACCCAAGGCCCAGGAAGCAGTAGCACCAGAGCTGGGGGGTGGCTCTCCGCCAGGTACAGAGCACAGAAGGATTTCTTGTTAGCCAAGCCACCCTGCCCTGCCCAGCGGTGGCCTCACAGGTCTCAAGGAGGCCCAGGGCAGGCAGGGAATAAGGGAGCATCCCCACCACTCTGGATTCTTGTGTTCTGGTCCTGATGGAGCATCTGCCCAACTGGAGGACTGTGTGCCCGTGTGTGGGGGGCACTCCACATGGGCATGTGTCTGTTTGGTGCCAGTGTCATATGTCCACGTGTTTCTGTGTCAACAGGTCTGTCTGCACCTACATTTAGATGTGTGCAGGCATCGGGCAGAGCCCCACTCAGCTCAGGGCCAATGGGAGGAAGGGCAGGGCCAGGCCCAGGTACTCAGTGACCTGGGGCCACTTTGCAATAAAATGATTTCACCTGGTGGCTAGGGTGTTTTCTGCTGCCCTCCCCATCCCGAGTGAGCTGAAAACCTCCAACCAGATCGTACTGCCACATCCTCAGTCACAGATGCTGTGGGGTTGTGGGGCAGGGGACTCGGGGCAGAGTTTGCCTAGGGGACAAGGCTAGGTCCAGACCATCCTCACCAGTTGTTGTCCATCCTAGAAAAGGGCGGGGCAGCCAGAGAGTCGAGTATCAAGAACTGATTTTAATCAATGGAGCCCAGGTTTCCACCAGGCAGGCCCCCAGTTTCCAGCTTACTGCACCCTTTGAGGGCACCGCTGGTGCTGTCCCACGCAGGGCCACCCCTTGGGGAAGGCAGGTGACCCCGTCCACCCCAGTTGAGACAGAGCAGAGTGAGACGGGTGAGGCGAGGCAGCAGGTGCAAGCGGCTGTTTATTAATTGTGATCTGGAGTGGAGGTGGATCCCGCCAGCTGAGGCCCTAGCAAAGGCCCTGGCGCAGGCAGTGGGGCAGGAGGTGGGGGCAGAGCTCAAGCAGGAAGAGAGGAAGGAATTAATTCTGCTCTCTGGGGTTCACAGCCAGCAGGCGAGGGAGTTGGGGGCCCACCTTGCTGCCCATGGGGCCTCCCCGGGCAGCCTTTGCATAGTGACCAGCCAACTGGCCTTGGACTGGCTGAGGGTTCGAGTTGGGGAGAGGCCCAGCCACTGCCCCAGGGCTACAGGAAGGGGAATGCAGAAGGCATCAGAGGGCCCTGGGGGTGAGCTGAAGCCCCATGGGCTGAGCCAGGGGCAAGGCTGGTGAGGGGGCAGGGCTGAGCTGCAGAGCGCCCCCAGCAGCGGGCAGAGCTGGGGGTCAAGGTGGTCCTTGAGTCCAGAGAAAAGACGCGAGACAAAGTGAGAACGAGGTCATTGTAGAAAACCCCTCAGTCCGTGACAAAGGACATCAGATGCAGGGGTGGGAAGAGCGACGCACCTGCCACCCGCTCTGGGAAAAGGCAGGAACAGGTGGGGCTGCATGGCCAGCCACACGGCCTCAGGACATCCGTGCCCAGTCAGGGCTGAGGCCCCAGGCCAGAGACCCCAAGCACCCAAGAAGCCCAGCCTGGATGCTGGGGTCACTAAGTGAGGTACACGGGTTGATTCCCTGGATGGGCGGTCCCTTCTGCCCTCACAAGGTGCCGGTGGCCAGCCACCAGCCCCAGGGCCCAGCGGAGGGGCTGGGGGCATGGGAGGGACCCAACTAGCAGGTCAGTGTCCTTGGGCAGTAAAGTGGGGGCACGAGGTGACACAGGCCCTGAGGGCAGAGTGGGGCACCAAGTGGCATGGGCCCAGGGATAGAGGGGCAGGAGGTGACACGGGCCTGGGGGAGTAGAGAGGAGCACAAGGTGACATGGGGCCTGGAGAGTGGTTTGTGACACGAGCAACTCAGGCCCCCTAGGGAGGGGTCACCTGAAGATACAGGGTCCCTGGAGGGGGGGAGTGATGCAACACCTCCTGGGGAAGACTGGAGCTTCAAAAGACTCAGTGCTGGTCCTGCTCTGGCCCGGGGTGGGGGCCGCTGGAGGAGGAAGGCAGAGCCTGCAGCAAGGGCTCCAGGAGCTCCAGAACACCAGTGCTCTCAGGAAACGGGCCTGTGGGGGGGTCCCGCCCACCCTGCTTCCCTAGCTCTCGTCCAGGTGAAGGCTGATAAACTCCTGGATGCACCTGCGGTACTGGAGCTCAGTGGGGCTGCTGCCGGTCAGAGGACCCGGCTGGCCAGAAGGTGCCTCGGCCTCTCGCATCTCCTCGGCCATGCGCGCCAGACGGAGCCTGGAGGAGGGCGGGCCTTATGAAGAGCCTAGCCCGCCCCCAGCCCATTGAGTCCCAGACCTGAGGAGGGCGGGCCTTATGAAGTGCTCCGCCCTGCCCACAGGGTCCCCCACCCACACCGCCCTCCTGCTCACAGCGTGACAATGTCGGCGTTTGCTTCCTGCACCGCAATGCTCAATGGGTCCTGCTGAGCGTGGTCCAAGGCGTGCTGGTCCGCCCCCCTCTTCAAGAACAGGCAGACCTGGCTGAGAGCGGAGGGGGCAAGTCAGGTCAGGCCTTGGGTAGGTACTGGTGGGCGGGCCACCCAGGCCCATGGGGCGGGGGAAAGTGAGGGGATGACCAGCCCACGACTCACCCAGTACGGCCAAGGAGCGTGGCGTGGTGGAGCGGAGCCCGGCCGTGGCTGTCTCTTTGGTTCACGTCCGCTCCGTTTTGCAGGAGGAATTCACAGACGATCAGGGAGCCCTGGGGAAGCCGGCGAGGGGAGTTGGTGTGGTTCAGCCGGAGCCAAGCCGCGGGAACGGTTCCTTGCAGAACCCCCACCTCCCACCACGCCCCGACGCCTCTTCAAGCGTGCGCACCAAGGCAGAGCCGCTGTGAAGACGCTGTACCTGGGTCCGGGAGCAGCCGGGCGCCTACTTACCCCTAGCACGGCCTGCACCAGCGGTGTCTTTCCCTCGTCCTCCGCGTCAGCCCAGTTGACTTCCGCCCCGTGCGCCAGCGCCGCCGCCAGGGCGGGAAGGTCGCGGGTGCGCGCCGCGCGGTGCGCCAGCAGCCCCGGGTGCAGCTCACGCACGTCTGCCAGGCCCCAGGCCTCCGCCTCTCCGTCCGCCTCGCCGCTGGACTCCTCCGACTCTGCACCCTCTACGAGGACCGGGCGATAAGGGCCGGTAAGCCGGCCCGGAGCCGGGGAGGCGCAGGGCCGGGGATGGGGAGCCGCGCACTCACCTTCCTCAGCGACGCGGTCCACCACAGAGCCCACGCCGAAGGCCAAGACATCTGAGCTGCCGTCAGAGCTGCCCCCTAAGCCGCTGTCGCTGCTCAGACCTGCAAAGTCCACAGCCAGAGGGGATCCTGAAAGCGTCTGGGGGAAGGCTGGAGGGCCGCCCACCCTCCCGGGGATGCTCCCTGGAGCAGGATCAGTCCCCACTCTGGGGGCAGAGGAGAGCCCTGCCCAGGATGGGAGGAAAGGAGAGAAAATCAAGTGACAGCTCAATGGAGTTAAGGATTAAGCGCCCCCTAGGAGCACAGTCGTGGATGTGATCCCCCCCTCGCTCAGGTGGGCCCTAGCAGGACGGATGGGCCGAAGCGCCCCCATAATGCAAGCTGGGAGGTCTCCATCCAGATGCGGCTCCAGGCAGCAGGGAGCAGCAACCAAGAGCAGCCCTCACAAAGAGCCCGGAACAGCGAGGCAGCGCCCTCTGCTGCCCGAGGGCACCCACTCACCCCAGCAGCCCTACCAATTCTTGGCCCCCGTGTATGCCTTCTGTCCACACTGCCCAGAAAGGCAGCCCAGAGGCCCCGGGCCAGTGGGTACTGATAGACACTTCACAGGCAGTCCCCGGGAGGGGACGGGGAGGGCCCCAACCTGCAGTATGTGACCCCCACTGCCACTCCAGGAAGAGCTGGAGAAGATGCACACAATTGTCTTTCAGGAGCTGGTCTGGCACACAGCTGTCCACGAACACACATGCATGTGCACACACCCATGCATATACACACATGTACACACTCACATGTGTGTATCCATGTGCACAATCATGCCCCACACACACTCCTGTGTGCACACTGCACACGGGTCTCCCTGAGGGTCATGGCTCCAGCCTCCAAGTCAGTGGCTGAATTACCCCCAGCCCCTGGAGATACTGTCCCAGCCTTAGCCCTGCTTGACCCCCAGACTCTCCCCACCCCTATACCAGTCCCTCCTGCAAGGAATGCCCATCCCTCCGGTCCCTGGGTGAGTGGCCACAGCTGTCCTGTACTTGTCCACCCTCTAAGCAAGCATGCCTGGTCCCTGCTCTGCTGCCCTGGCTGAGCTGGGGGGTGGGCAGCAGGGGACTTACTGCGTGGGCCGGCCGCGGCAGCCCCTGCATCGAAGTAGGAGAAAAGGGAGTCCAGCTCATCCGGGCAGAAGAGTGAGTCCCTGCGGAACCTGGGCTCCACGGAGCCTGTGGCAGGGCAGTAACCGGGCCAGGCTGGGAGGGGGGCAGAGCTCGGGGCTCTGCTCCTTCCTCCCCCCACCCCTGGCCTCCCTGGGGTTCATAGTCTGGAGGCTCACCCCCTGCCCAGGCCTGTGAGCTGGGGCGCACCTGCCAGCCCCCTCCCACCTGAGCACAGGGCAGCCACAGAGGGCAGAACGGGCTCCATCCGGACTTTGCTGCGGCGGGGGGCAGGGGCTCGGGGGGAGCTGTGGTGGCGCTGGCACTTCTGCACCCTCCAGCGCTGTGGGGCCTCCCGGGCTGGTGCCGAGGGTGGCCTCCGCACAAACTTCTTTTCCACATATTTGTCCTTGATCCAGGCCTCCTTGTCCTGTCTGGACCAGGACCAGACATGAGGCCGCACTTGTGGGCTGGGGCTCCCCAGGCCCTGCCTAGGCTACCCCACACCTCACCTGGGGCTGCTGGCTGTGGGCTTCTTGCTGCCCGGCCCCTCACACTGGGCCTCGTAGATCTGGTTCACGGTGCTGTTTCCAAGCTCACACATCAGCTGGCAGGAGATGGTGAGGCCAGCATCAGCCCAGCCCAGACCTCCCCTCAAGTGGGAAGACCTGGCTCCTGTCTCCCTCCCCCCACCAGTCTCCTGGCAGCCTGCAATGGCCCCCACACACCTTCAGCAGCTCCGGTTCCCACGAGTCCAGGGTCAGGGACCGCACCTTGGAGCAATGGACGCCCAGGCTCCTGGATGATGAGAGAGGAAGAGTTAGGGCGTGGCTCCACCCCCACCCCCTCCGGGCCACCCAGGAGGCCCACCTGTGGATGCCTGAGCACTCGATGCAGAGCAGCACGCCCAGGTTGATGCTGGCCCAGCGTGGGTCGGGTTGGCCGCAGTCACCACACTGGCTGTTGCCGGCCACGTTCTGCACCCGCTGCAGCACGCTCTCACCCTTGACACTGCGTTCCCGAGAGTCCGTGGCAGAGTCAATGCTGCTTGTGGATGGGGACGCTGTGCGGTCCAGCCTCTGGGGACCGGGTGAGGGGTCACTCAGCCCTATGGGAGTCAGCTCCAACCCCAGTCTCCCCAGTGGAGGCCCCATCTTTCTCCCCAGATACAGAGGCCGACACAGGCCAGGGTCCCTGAGGCACGAGTCTGCACCCCCATGTATGCACACACACTCATGTGTGCATACACAGAATGCACATGTGTGCTGGTGTGTGGCCTGCGGGAGCTGTACACGCATGTGCAGGGAGGGCCCACCTCACTGTAGCAGCTGTCAGGGCTCTCCCGATAGGCAGAAGCAATGCTGGCTTGCACCGCCTGAACCCAGGCCTGCCGTAGTTTCTCTGAGTCGGCCTGCAGCATGCAGCTCCTGCAAGAAGGGGCCTGTCAGGCTGGGCAAGCAGAGGCTCCTGCTACATCACACCCTGGGCGGGACCTCCTTACTTGGTGGGCGACACGACCTCAAAGCAGAACCTCCGCTCGACGTCCTCACAGGGCTTCACAGAGCAGAGCCGGAGGTCGTCCACTACCACAGTCAGCACATCCTGCAGGCATGACCACCATGGCCCTCGCACTCAGCACCCAGCTCAGCCCCACCCTGGCCACCCGTTCTCTGCTCTACCCAGGACACAGATTGCCTGGGGTTCAAGTGGTCTCTGTCCCTGGCCATTCAGGCTTTGGTGCCCACCCATGTCCTCAGCCCCATGATACCAACCCCCCCAACCGCCCACCCCCAGGCCAGGTGAGGAGGCCCAGGAGTCGCTGCCCTGGGCCCAGCGCACCTTGAGCTTCTTCTGGTAGACCAGCTGGCTGTTCTGGATGGAGAACCAGCGCCTAGGTGGGGAATGGGCCCGGAGGGGTCAGGCTGGGTAGGGCACCCTCCCCCACCTGTCTGCCCTGTAGTCCCCTGAGAAAGGGCCTCCCTTACCGGTTCCACGTCTTGAAGGCATTGCTGGCCCTCTTGAAGAGGTAGCCTTCCATTACTACCCCACTGGGTGCATCCACGTCAAACTCCACCTTGGGCTCATCGTAGGAGAAGTCCTGGGAGCAGTTGGAGCCCAGCCCTCCATGAGCACCCACCCACTGCTGTGTGGACACGGCTGCCCTCCCAGCCTCCCCACAGCCCAGGTTGAGAGGGTGGGTCTTCACAGCCACTTCCTGACCCAAACCCCATGGGGGCAGATGCCTCCCACCACAGCTGGGGGCCTGGAGCACTCCGGCCCCACCCCCCAGCTCCCTCCGCCCGGCACAAACAGCAAGCTCTGGGTAGGATCAGGAAGGAAGCCGCCTCCCCTGTCCTCAGTCCCCCATTCATGTTGCCAGCTGGGCTGCTCCAGCCAGCCTGACAGAGCTCCATTCACACGGGCCGGGGAGACACTGAGCGTTGTCCTGTGTGTCCGGCAGTGGGAGAGGAGGCCCAGCCACCTGCTCCCCTGGCTGAGTGGGGGCGGGAAGGGACAGCTGCAGCTGCTCCCGAAGGGGACTCGGTCCCAGCTCAGCAGCCTCCGCTGGTGCTGGGCGCGCCCCGGGAGGTGCTCAGGGTCGGAGTGCTGGGGCCGTGGAGGTGTCCTTGGTGCTGAAACGGGGCGGGGCAGACAGAGGCCCCACCCACCTGTCCCCCCACCCCACCCCCGGGTGGGCGCCCACTCACCTGCAGCAGCGTCTGAGGGCGGGAGCGGGAGGAGCGGGAGGAGGGAGAGAGAGAGCCAGTGAGTGAAGCCCTGCAGCCTCCTCCTGGGAACTAGCAGCTCCTACCAGCAGTCATCTCCGCCCAGGGCAGCGCCATGACAGCCGTCTGGCCAGGAGCAGAGAGGCCCCAGTAGGACCCTCCACCCAGCCCCAGCCCTAGCACCTGTGGGCTGAGGGGGCTGGTCCTGGCCTCTAAGTGACCTCTCACTGTGCTGAGACCCTGAGGGATGAGGACTCCCACCTCTGTCTGCTCTTCCAAGAAGGATCAGAATCAACCTGAGCATGGGAAGGCCTGGGGAGGGACGGGGAGTGTGTCTTCGTGGCGGGCTCCCAGGTCCACACTTGGAGAGGGCTGAAGGGCCCCTCCACAGGGAGGCCAGGGCTGCAGGGCCTCACCCGTTGTTGGATGGCGGCATGCTTGCGCTCCATCTCCCGCTTCTCCACTGCCGAGTCGATCACCAACTGGTCCAGCTGTGGGGAGGGGCACAGAGAGGGAAGTGGACCCCTTCCCCTGACACGCTGGCCCTGGCTTCCCCTCCCCGCAGGCTCACCTCGGCCGCGAGCTTCTTCATGTAGGGGTCCAGCTGGTGCAGCAGGCTGTACCCCTGCTGGAAGAAGCTGTACTGGGCATGCATGAAGGACAGCATCTGGGGGGGTAGGGACACAGGTGAGGCCCGGCCACCAGCTACAGTGGCCAGGGCCCCCACCGGGTGCACCCAACCCCAGCACTCACGGAATCCAGAATCTCAAACTTCTTCTTAGCCTGGAGGACATTGATCTGCCAAGGAAGGAGTGAACAGGTGAAGATATCAGGGCTGAGCTAGGCCATGGCCTGGACCTTGCTCATGTCCACTCAGGGTGCTTGTGGCTCCCTGAGACCACCAGCTCATCTGATGCTCCCTACACTGGTACCCATATCTCCTCTCATGGTTTCTCCATGGACAAAGCCATGAACTCTACCCCCTGCTCCAAGCCCTCCTGCAGCCTTCAGCCCTGGCTTGTCCCAAGCACGTCCCCACCTCTGGGCCTTTGCCCGGGGCATTCCCCACTCCAGATCCCTCCCCAAGCATCTGAAGTTTTCTCAGGTCAGAGAGGCCCCTCCAGACACCAGGTCCGTGTCTGCAGCAACACCCAAGGCCCAGCGACTCACCTGGAGCACATAGTCCAGTGCCAGGTGGCGGAAACACTTTCGGGCGAGGATCAGGGCACCTGTAGCCTCCTCCACCTCGTGGGGCCGGTGCCTCGGGGCCTGGGCATTCCTCACCAGTGACAGCTCCATGTCCTCCCGAACTTTGTCAAACTGCTTCTTGGTCTCCTTGAACTTCCGCACATCCCTGGAGGCCGGCGGGTGTCAGGTCAGGGAGCCTGAGGAGGGGTGCACTGGGGTCTCCCCCCTTCAAAAAAGGCCCTCTTTCTGCTCCCAGCCCCTCTGTGCTCTACAACCTCCTTCCCCACCTCCCTGTCCTGGCCTCCCACCCCCCACAGCCAGCACTCCCTGCTGCCTCCTCCTCAGGTCCCTTTCCCAATCCAGGGCCCCCTTTCTCCTCACCACCTCACCCACAGGATTGATCCAGCTTGAGGTGACCCCTAGCCTTACCCTGGACTCCAGATGCTCCACTCGGGGGATCCCCAACTATACACACAGCACTGAGCTGAGACCCCCACCAAGTCCCCACCTCCTGCTCTGTGACCCCGACCCTGACCCTTCCATGGTCCTGCCTTCACCCCTGCCTGAGGGCCCCCTCACTGCCCTCTGTGGTCCCTGCCCTCCAGCACTGTTTCCTCAGCCCAGTCTTGGCCTACAATGAGCCCCCACCCAGAGCCTGCAGGCCTTGTGTCAAGGCCCCAGACTCTCTCAGCTCAAACACCCCAGCATGGGGGAGAGCAGCCAGGCCTCCTTTGGGGCCACTCACTCTTTGACGAAGTTGTGGAGCTGCTGCCGCACAGACCTCTGGGCCTGGTCAAACAGGATCTGGGAGCATAGAAAGGTGGAGGTATCAGGGACCTGCCCCCATATGACCCCAGAGGCCAGGCCCCTATCCCCTCAGGTAAGAACCAGAGAATGCCCTGTCCAGCCCCACTTAGGCCCCAGCTGGTCACCCTCACAGAGCCGGCCTCACAGGGTCCAAGGGACCAGGTGCAGCCCCCAGGCCTGGGTTGGTGCCCAGAGGCAACAGCTGTGACCACCTGCCCATCTCCCCCACTTGGCTCTCAGTCAGACTCGAGGCCCAAGCTGTCCCCCTCCCATGGCCCAGTCACAGCAGGCACACCCAGGGCCCCTAGTGACAGCCAGTGCCCTGGCCTGGGGAGAAGCCACCTTGAGGATGACCAGCCCTGCAGCTGGAAAGGTCCAGCTGCGGCCGAAGCTCCTGAGTGATCTGGCCTGGGGGCAGGGTGAAGTGGTTGTTGGGGGCTGGAGGGGCCTCCCCCACAGCACTGACTGGACCCAGAATCAGATCCCCTCAACATGGGGAGAGGGCTGGGCCCCTAACCAGAAGCAGACAGACACACAGACAGACTGCTGAGGCCGGACGAACTGTCCAGCACTGGTTTATTTCTGAACTTCCCCTGTGGGGGAGGGGCCCCTTGTTTAGTCTGAGGCTCTGGTTTCCAGGCCATGGTCTGACCACCCACATGGGCCTCATTCTGTTCTGTGTGTCCATGCAGGGGCCCCTGAGAGGCTCAAGTTCAGGCAAACCCATCCTGGGAAGCCATGGGGTCAGCCTGGCCAATGACCCCTGTCTGATGGCCCTGGATAACCCTCTAAGACATCTATGCCAAGCCCCCACCACACTCAGCCCCAGACGGGCAGGTTCCAGGCACCTCCCTGCTGGCTATCCAGCCCTCACCTGGGACACAGTAGAGTTTCAGCAATGTGGGCGCCCCCCGCCCCTAGACTGCAGGAGCAGAAACGTGGCCTCCCCCACAGCCCGCCCCTGCCAGCTCAGCTCTCCCAGAGCCAGCCCAGAGCCTTCCAGGCTGGGCGGGGCCTGCAGGAAGCCCAAGGGGTGGCTGCCTGGGAAGGGATGACAGTGATGATAAGCAGTGCCCCCCCACTACCCCCATCAGGGCTCACCATGTGGTAGGTGACCATCTCCTGCAGGCTGTCTCCAAACCTCTGCAGACATTCCTGGGGGTGGGTGGGGGAGACCCTTGCTTAAATGGGACTGCCGTGCCCCCAGTGTCAGCACCTCCCACCCACTAGCCACAGAGTAGCCCCTGTGGCCCAGCACAAATGCCCACCTGCTCCCAGGGCAGGGGCACCCTCGAGGGGCTGCCTGCCTGTACCTGCCCCTGCCTAGAGGTCAGAGGTCAGCTGCCCCCTCACCGATATAACAGTGTCGCCCTGGCACTGCTGGGACAGGTCGCGGACGCCACTCACGAAGAGTCTGTTGGTGGTGACGTAGGCCTTGCCTGCCTCGATCATGCTGCTACATAACTTCACCAGCTGCAGACAGGACAGGACGGACGGGGGACACTCACGCCACCTGTGGCCCCAGCCCTCACCGCCACCAAGGCCAGACCACACAGGCTGGGACCCTGCCAAGGCAGCCGGAATTCAGCTCAGGGCCCATCAGTGCCCAGGACACAGCTGGGCAGCCCTAGGTGGAGAAGGAAGGCCACTGCCCACCACCTGTCCTTCTGAGCCCACCTGGTGCTGGGGCAACAGATTGGCACTGCCCAGGCCTTGGCTCCAGTGTGGGAGGTGGGAGCAAGAGAGGGAAGCCAGGAGCAGGGGCCCCAGGGCCGGGGTGGGCATGCAGTCCTGGCCAAGGAACAGCAGGACCAGCCAGAAGGGGCTCAGGGATGCCACCCCTCCTCCCCTCCTGCCTGTGCCCCGGGCCCCTAACCCAGCTACTCAGAGGCACAGCCTCCCAGCAGCTGCCCCTGCCTCCCCCAAGACTCCCCTCCTTGGCTTGGCAAGAGGAAACCACACAGACACAGGTGTGTGCATGGCATGTGCACCAGGACAGGTATGAAGGCCAGTGACAGCCAGGCCCATGTGCTACGCATAACACACACTTATGCCTGTATTGGTGGCTGTGAGTGAGCTGGACCGAGCCCTCTATGTGCCCCCAGGCCCTTCCCTCACCTTGTCCAGTTTGGCCTCGATCTCAACCACGTCCGTTTCCACCTCATCGATAGTTGCCCTGCGACGGGTACAGGGTGGCTGGAGACCCGCCTGCAGCGAGCCTCCCCCACCGACTTAGCTGGTCTTCGTCTCCCCAGGTACCTCCCCAAAGGGTCTGCAGTGGGAAGGGGCTGCTCTGTCGATAGCCACTGGCTCCCGCAGGCCCACCTTCCTCCATGCCCCTCGGACAGACTAAGACATGAAGACTGGGGTAGGGGCATGGAAGAGGGAAGAGAGGAGCAGGACTGGGACCATGACTCCAGGGCTGCAGAGCCTCCAGGGCCCACCACCATCCCAGGCAGAGAGAGGCCTAGTCAGCTGTGATGCCCCCAAATGGGGTCTGTGGACAGGGGAGGGGGTGGTCCCTAGCACAGAGGGAGGGGCCAGGGCCCTGTGGAGGGGGACATGCAGGGCCTCGCTGGTCACTGCCCCCCGGCCCAGCCCATACACCTCTCCAAGGCTCTATACACCCCAGACCCCATTGGACCCCCCCAACCCTTAGCTTCAGCTGTAGCCCACTCTGGCCTGGGGCTGGCAGACCCTGGGGCAGACCTGTGTCAGTAGAGCCTGCAAACCTGGGGCTGCTCCCTAGCACAGTGAGACACCCAGCAGAGGCATGCCCCTACCTCCCGACTACTCCCCCAACCTCAAATACCAAGTTGGCCCTGTCTGCCTGGAGGGAGCAGTGGGTCAGACCTTGGAAGAGCCCACTCCCACTGGGGCGGCCTGACAATCGGGCTGCCTTGGGGAGGGAAGAGTTAACGATGACATCACCAGAGAAGCCAGTGGACAGAGAATCCCGGAAGGCGAGGCGAGAGGCAGATGGATCAGGCACGTGACTCCCCCCCCTCCAATGCTCTGGGAACAGGAAACTGGGAAAGAGGGCCAGGATCCCAGGGCTCCCCCCAACCCACTCAGCTGGTGAGCTGGGCCCATCTGGCTTCCTGGGGACAAGGGACAACGCGGAATGGAGCTCGGACCAGGGGCTGGAGGCAGCCTCTAGGGCCAGGGCCAGGGTAGAGGAGGCTGTCCAGGTCTAGAGGCCCCTCGCTGCCCCGTGGCTGGTAGAAGAGGGCCATATTCCAGGGTTTCCCAGGCTTGGGGGAGAGGGACTTAGTCCCTCATGTGGGGGGCAGCTCGGTACTCCCTCAATTAGGAGTTGTGGGGGAGGGGGGTGCCAGGCTGCCTCGTCAGGGCCTTTGGAAGATCCCCTGTCCTCCTCCTCTCTGAGCAGCCCTTATCTCTGCCCCAGGGCTGAGGGGTCTCTGAATTCCAGAGCAGGAAGGGGTCAGAGGGGACGTCTGCTTGGACCAGTGTTGGCCCACGCCCAGCAGGATGCCCAGCCTGAGACTACAGGATCCTGACCATTAGTGTAGCCTCTCCCCTCCCCCCAACCCAGGGGCCCAGGGCACAGAAGGACAACCCGTCAGGAGAGGATACTACAGAGCAGAGCAGAGACATGGCCCCTGGAGCCCAGTCACCCCAACTGCCCTGGGCAGATGTGTGGAGGGCCATCACCCCCAAGCCAAGGGGGGCAGGGAGGGGGCAGTTGGTCCCTAGAGAGCTGGTGGGGGGCACTGTACCAGATGGTGACAATGTGCTCATGGGGGCGAGGTGGGCACTCAGCAGAGAGCACCAATGTGCTCATGGGGGCCCATGCCCCTCATCTCTCTCCCCCCACCTCCATGGAACAAGGCCTCCTCTCCTGCCATCCCTCCAGGATTTCCTCAGCAGCTTGGACAGTAGGTAGGAGGGTGAGGCTGGTTTCCCCACCAGAGCCATGACTCAGCGCCTGAAGCCCCACCCAGGGGAGGGGGCACCATGAACAAGGGGTGGGCGGTGCCCCGGTGAGTCTGAGAGAGCCTGGAGCCCTCCAGCCATAGGCACCCAGGGCTGTGGGGCTCTGCCCAGGCCACGAGCATACAGACAGGGTCCCTCTTCCCCCGGGGCTGGGGTCACTTGGCCCTGTATCCTGATCACATTCTCCCACCCAGCTCTACCCTAGCCCTGGCCCCCAAGCTGGCCTCCAGGAAGTCCAGGTTACATCCTCAGCAGCACCTGAGGGCACATGGACAAGGGAACCTCAAAAAGGCCTCAAAACCTGGTTAAATCTCAGCCCAACCCCGAAACCCACACAATGCAACTTCTGTGGTCCAAGGTCGGGGCATCTCCCTGGCCCCCACCCTGGGGTCTTAGCTATGTACTTTCAAAGAAAACCTGGCAAAGCCCAGGCATCAGCTGCATCCACTGCCCCACTGTGGGTGCCCCCTGGCAAGCAGGCTAGTGTGGGAGGGAGGGCCTGGAGCTGCCCCACTGTGGGTGCCCCCAGCCTGGGATAATAGGTACCTGAGTTGCTCACATCCCACCCCCCCCCCCCAACTGTCAGGAACATAAGATCAGAGAGCACAGAGGTGATCATTAGCCCTCTGCCCAGGGCCAGGGGCCACTCTCTGGTCCAGCCTCTACCCCTCATCCAGTCTTTTCTGGCCTTCATTGCTGACTCCCTGTGAAGCGGCTGGGCAAGGGGCTGGCTCCAGGGACTCAGAGGTGAGAGCACTGATGCTGAGGCCCACCAGGCACTGCAAACAGGCCCTCTTGCTAACACACCCCAAAGACCCAGCACACACACATACACATGCACATGACCCAGCGCAAGTGTGCCAAGGCCTGACAGGCACATGTGCCATCAAACATGTATGCACGCAGAAGCACAACACACACAAAGTGTGTACTCATGAATTTGCTGCATAAACATGCACCCTGTGCTAGGGTACACAGGAACAAACTAACATGTGCCTAGTGCCTTAACTCATCCATGCACGATAAACACCCACTCTATCTAGCAGCAGTCCAGGGGCGTAGCTCACCCACACATTCATGTCCAAGGTCTGGCACCTCAAGGGAGGGTGCAGAGGGGTAGAATTCACATGAGTGTACCCAAGCACAAGCATGAGCACCTGACACACAGGAGGTGCCCCGTTAAAGCAGATGCATGCACACCATGAACATGTCCACACGGATAAGCCCGCCTGCACTCGCAGGAAGGACTAAAAGCACAAACCCATGGCCGAGCACAGCCCAGAACCTCCACCAGTCTCTCGAATCCAGTCTGCTTAGGTAGCCCCCACCCTGCCAGGCATCTAGGTCACGTCTGCCAAGTAGCTGCCCCAAGCCCTAACTGTGGCTCCAGCTGCCTGCCCCCTTGACTACTCTGGGCACAGGAACCAAGACAGATTCCAGGGGCAGACACCCGACGCACCCAGACGACCCTAGCCAGAGTCGGGCTGCAGGGCCCGGCAAGGTCTCAGCCCTGTGCAGGTGGCCCGCAGAAGGTCTAGACACAAAGCGGGCGGACACTCCCACGGAGAGGTGGCCGCGCCGGAGGCCGCCCCGCCCCACGCGCGCACCCTTCGCGCGCGGCGACCAGAACAAGCGGCATCTTTTGTTCCGGGCTCCAGGGCCAGGGTTGCTGCGGGCTTTGTCCAAGGCGAGTCCTCCTGCTCTGGCCTCCAGCCCCGGCGCCGGGTACAAAGGCGGCACCGGCTCCCCCACCCTCGCCCCATCCCCCGGCGGTCCCGGGTGCCCCGAGGGGCTGCGAACCCGCCGTTCACAAAGGGCCGCGCCGCGCCCTGGGGGCGCACCTGAAGCGCGGCGAGTCCTTGATGCACTCCTCGAACTCCACCGTCATGGCTGCGGCGGCGCGCGGCGCTCACTGGCACGAGGACCACGGCGGCCCGAGCGGCATCCCCGGCCTGCCTGCCTGCCCGCCCGCCCGCCCGCGCCGCGATCGGCGCCCGCCCGCCCCGGAACGAGGCCGCTGCGCCACCGCCCCGCCCCGCCTGTCACCACCGGGGAGCGTCGCCAAAGTCCTCCGTCCGCGCGCGCCGCCCGCTGTCACCGCCGGGGAGCGTCGCCAAACGCTCCGACGTCCCGCCCCCTTAGTCCCGGCAGCGGGTCGGAAGAGTGGATGGGCCCAGCAGCAGTCTCGGGAGCCGCCGGGCCGCGCGCGCTCCAGCGGTTCGGCCTTAGGCAACCTGGGGGATTGGCAATATGAGCTCATCCGGAGCGCGGCTGGAGGATTGGGGGGCTGCTAGTGGGGTGGGCGCGGGAGCTTGCGGGTCTGAGTGCAGCTGCGGCTGCGTTTTCCCTGGGTGGGCACTTTGCATCCGCTCCCTAAATCTAGCCCCGCCTCGGCTCCCCCGCCCTGGGCAGCCTTGCTAGGCTGCCTGGGCGGGGCGAGAGCGCAAGCGCAAGCGCCTGAGCGGCCAGGGGGCGTAGACAGACGGGGTTCGCGGGAGCGTAGCCCCACGTGCGGTCCCAATCCACCTGGCTCTCCGCCTCTCCCATTCGGTTACTGAGGCTCCACAGCATCCAGTCTGGCTATGGGCCCGGGCTCGGTGCGGGCGCGCTACCTCGTGTACTTCCAGTACTTGGGAACGGACTTTAAGTACGTCCTCTGGGCCTCCTACCCGTGCCCTCGACCCCCTCGTGGATACCGGCGCCGCGGGGAGCACCCAAGCTCGAGCCGGAAAGCGGCCGTGGACTGGCGCCCGAGGGGATGGCGGAGGCTGAGTTTAGGGTCCTCACCTCCGGCCTCGGGCCCCGGTCGCCCAGGGCTGGAACAGCCGCCTTTGACCACAGAGGGCGGGGCGGGCGGGGCCCCGGGGCGAAGCAGCCTCCGCTCTCTAACTTCCACCTTCCCTACCTACAGCGGGGTCGCGGCCGTCAGGGGCGTCCAGCGCGCTGTCGGAGTCCAGAACTACCTGGAGGTGAGCTCCGCAGGCCCGTGCCCGGGAGGGAGGAGGGATGGGAGCCCGACCCATCTGTATCTTATACAACCCTAGGAGGCCGCAGAGCGGCTGAACTCGGTGGTACCGGTAAAGTTCACCATTTCCAGCCGCACGGATGCTGGGGTCCACGCTTTAAGCAACGCGGCGCACCTGGACATCCAGCGCCGCTCAGACCGGCCACCCTTCTCCCCTGAGGTCCTGACGGAAGCCCTCAACACCCACCTGAAGCACCCTGCGATCAGGTGAGCACCGCTCTCCTGGGATCGTACACTATGGGAGAGGCGGGAGGTGAGGACAGAACTCCTTGGGGTTGATGGGGGAGATACCAAGGTGTCACATGACAGCGGCAGGGGGTCATTTCTGGTCTCGCTCCCACAGAGTACTACAGGCCTTCCGTGTACCCAGCCACTTCCATGCCCGCCATGCCGCCATATCCAGGACCTACCTATACCGCCTAGCTACTGGCTGCCCCAGGCCTGACAAGCTGCCTGTATTTGAACGAAACCGGTGCTGGGCGCTTCAGGCAGAGTGAGTGGTTTGAGTGAGCAGGGGGCTTGCCAGGCCTGCCTGGCCAGCCATTTGCTCCTGACCACTCATTTGGCTCCCTGCAGCTGCTTGGATGTGGCTGCCATGCAGGAAGCCGCCCAGCACTTCCTGGGGACACATGACTTCAGTGCCTTCCAGTCAGCCGGCAGCCCAGCCGCCAGCCCAGTGCGCACCTTGCGCCGGGCCTCTGTGTCCCCCGACCCCACCAGCCCCTTTGTCCTCCCCGAGGAAAGCAGGTGAGAAGAGCAGCCCGCACTCTGGTCTGGAGGCTGCAAAGGCTGGATTTAGCTCCTGCACCTTCCCTAGTGCTGCACTTGGTGCTCCCTGGGTACCCACCCATCCAGCTTCTGGGGAGAAGAGGGTGCCTGTCAGCCATGGTGTGGGCCTTCTGGACCCATAAGCCTCAGTCCAGAAGGCAGAACACATTGCCTGCCCTGCCCAGAGCTCACCAACTCGTGGACGAATCCTGGTGGTCAAGGACAAGGTTCCCCTGGGGGAGAAACACCAAGCCGGTGGTTCTGGTCTAGGCTGACAAGGGTTGTTTCTACTGCCCCCCACCCCAACCCCCCCAGCCATCCAGCAGCTACTGGATTCCAAAGCCCTCCCAGTTAGGCCCAGCCTCCAGCTCCTGCTTACGAGCCCAGGGCCGCCTTCCAGTTGCCCCTGCACCAGGACCTCGGCCCCGACAGCTCTACAGTCACCTCACAAGCACCAGTCATCTGGCTTTAGCCTCCCTTTCAGTGGGCTCAATTACAATAAAGCAGGGTGGGGTGGGGGGCGTTTGGACCCCAGGGTGGAAAGCCATAGGTCCCACTGTGAGGCGTCCGTGTCCCCAGGCGGTTGCAGTTCTGGAGCCTGGAGTTTGAGAGCCAGTCCTTCCTGTACAAACAGGTGGGCTCCGTCCTGGGGTCTTCCCTGGGGGTGGGGCCTGGGGCTCGAGCAGTTGCAGCAGTGTTTGCTTTGGGTTACAGGTGCGGAGGATGACTGCTGTACTTGTAGCCGTGGGGCTGGGGGCTTTGATGCCTGCTCAGGTGAAAGCCATTCTGGACAGCCGGGACCCCCTGGGGAAACACCAGAGCCGTGTGGCCCCTGCCCACGGCTTGTTCCTGAAGTCAGTGCTCTACGAAGGCCTTGGTAAGAGGAAGTGGCCTGAGGAGGTCCCTGCTTGTACCCTGAGCGGCTGACCCTGCCCAAGGCTAAGCCTTCACCAGGAGAAGGGTGCTTGGTGGCAGTGCCATACCCCAGGAAAGCCCAAAGGCAGCCTGGAGTGGGTGCCACAGCCCTTCAGCCAAGCCCCGTCCTGACCTGGCCCTGCGGGGAGGGACACCGAGAGTATGCAGACGGCAGCACTGGGTGGAGGGACATGAACTCTGGGGCAAAGGCAGGGGCTTGGCAGTTCCATGGGAGGCTCTTGCCCAGCCCCTGCAGAGACCTTCTTGCCCCCAGGAGGACCTGGGGTCTGCCCATAGGTCCCACCTCGATGCAGCCTCCTTGCATGCCCTCAGAGACCCAGTACAGAAGTCAGAGGTGACCCTCTGCTGCTCCGCTGCTTGACCCTGCCCTGCACCATGCAGCGATCACAGCAAGCCTGTACCTGCCACAAGTCCCCACCTCCCTGGGTGCCTGCCCAGGTGGGTTGCCACAGAAGAGTGGTGCAGGAGACAGGCGAAGAATCAGAAAGGGAGACACCCAGACAGCCTGTGGTGGTTTTTATTGGAGATCAACACCCCAGGAGCCCCCACCCATCTCCTGGGAGGCCAGGAGGAGAAATAAAAGATGAAAAGCCTCTCAGATCCGTTTCTTTGGCCAAAAGCAACTTGAGCAGGTACGTGGCCCTGTGTTCTCTACACAGATGAGTGGTGAGATCTACACCCAAGGACACGGGGAAGACGGGGGCATAGACGGTCCTGGAGTGGAAACCAGGTCCCTCTACTGTCCACGGGGCTTCAGCTGGCCTGGGGCAGGCCCTTCTTGAGCAGAGATGTGAGGTAGCTTCCCAGCTCCTCGTCCTGCAGCCACAGGCAAGAACGGCTGTTGGTCTGTCCCCCTGACCCGCCCGCCCAGGGTGATAAGAAGACCCAACGAGTCCTGCCCTCACCTGGTAGGTCCAGGAGACCAGTAGCACCTTGGTGCCTGGGTCCTCAGAGTGGGCGGCAGCCTGGACTAAGATGGACTCCACGGTCACAGAGCCGTCAGGAAGGTGCTGCACGCAGTGGTCCTTGAGGACACTGCAAGGAGTTCCAGTGAGACCCGGCCTCGCGCCCCCACATGTGCCCTGCACCCATGTCTGGAAGGGCAGCCATGGCATCTACCTCTTCAGGTGGCTGTACACGCGCATGGCCATCTCCTGCTCCTTGCGCGTATCGTGCAGGTGCACACGGCAGGTGAAGCGCAGCTGGTGCTCGGCCAGGCCCAACTCCTTAAGGGCCTGCTCTGAGGACACGAGCCGGAAGTTCTGTGGGGCAAGAGTGGGTCAGAGCTGGCAGGGACAGCCCCCCAGCCCAACGGTGACTGCAGCACTCACGCTATCCTTCATGATCAGGGTGCCGTGCAAGAGCCGAGGCTTCTTGGCATCAGGGAGCAGCCCTGTGGGGACGGGGCACCGGTCAGTACTGTGAATGGGGCCACTTGCCCAGCAGCCGCCCCCTACCCCTACCCCAGCTGGCCTTGCCGCTCACCCTGTGCCATCTCCCGCTTCAGCAGCCCCAGTGAGATGCCCACAGGGATGCTGGGGCTCGTGGGCAGTGTCACCGTCTCACCATTGGCCGGCATGTAGCAGTTGACCCCTGGCCGGGAGATGGAGAGAACCTCAGTCCAGGCTGGAGGGCCCCGCCTGCACCAGACCCCCACGCCCCTACCCTTGCCTGGACTGCCTACGGAATTCCTGCTCAATCTTCTGCTTCAGAAACTCCATCTTCTTGGCCTCGCCGTGCACCAGCAGCACATTCTCTGGCTCCGCCTGGCCCACCAGCTGCATGATGCCCTTGGCATCCGCGTGGGCACTGAAGGACATGTACTCCACCTGCATCTTGACCTCCAGCTGCAACGTCGCAGCATGTGGGCCATCAGCACAAGTGGTGGTTCTGAGGGCCTCCACCCACCCAAGTGGGATCCACAGGGCTGGTGGAGAGAGGTGAGGACTCACCACCTGCCGCCCCTCCATCTCCAGCTTGCGCTGCCCACTGAGGATCTTGTGACCCACGGTGCCCTGGACGCAGTAGCCAGGCATGATGACCTGTGGGAGGGAGGGATAGATGAGTGGCTCCCCTGCACCTCCTGCCTCGGGGCTTCCTCCTGGGATATTCCCCCCACCCACCCTTCTGCCCACCTGAACCCTTGAAGAAGGGCCCTCCCCTTCCAGGCGCACTGCAGACCCTGAAGAAGCAGGCTCAGTGGTCTCAGCACAAGCCCACCCAGGCCTGACCCCCATGACAGCACTCAGGAAACCAGGGGCCTTCCTGCCTGGTGCATATGATTCAAGACACAGTTAGAGTCAGCCTGGGTCAGACCTCAGGCACCAGGATGCCAAGCCTGTCCCTAATGGCAGCAAGCCCCCAGCCAGGGCAGCCCCTGCACCCAAGGAGCCAGCCCTGGGGCCCAGACCCCTTACCATATTCTTCTCGTTCCCTGCCCACTTCCGGAAGATCTGTAGTGACTGGCCAGCATGCAGCATCCCCGGGGTGGCAAACACGACCTTCGGGGCAAATGTGGGGACAGTCAGGGCAGCAAATGCCCCCCTACCCTCAGAGCCTTCTGCCCTCCCATCTTCCTAGCACAGAGGCACGCCGCACCCTGCAAGCGAGCCTGAGCCTGGTGGAACCCCCTGCCCGCCCCCCCACCAGCTGCACCGGGGCACACCATGGGTCCTGGGCTGTCGGCAAATGCCCGGTCAAAGGCCTTGATGTGCTTGAACTCAAACATGTTCCTCTGCACGAAGGTCTTCCGTATCTTCTGGTTGGTCCAGGGGATGAAGAGCTTGTAGTAGTGATTGGCCTTCTCTGTCAGGCCCGTGGAGAAGTAGATGGGGGCTTTCAGGTCCATGCGCTCCCTGTAGCCAGGACAGGGCATGGTGGGGAGACTGTGGGGCAGGGCCGGCCAGCGGCCCCCATGTGCCCTCAGCCTGGGTCAAGTCCAGTGCCAGGAAGGGTGTTCCCCCACCCACAGCTAGCAACACAGGGCTTAAAGCAACCATCCTGGGCTGCACCTACCAGAAGGTCTCGAGCAGGATGCAGAGCTCCTGAGCACGACCCAGCGCAAACACGGGGATCAGCACCTGTGGGGTGGGGCTGTGAGGCCAGCTCGGGCAGGAACCCCTGGCCATGCTGTCCCCCTCCAACTGTGTCAGGCCCAAACCTGCACACAGGTGCAGGCAGTTACTCTCTGTGGCCACCTTCTCAGAAGACCAGCCCTGCTGGCAGCTCTGGGGACTAGAGGCCCTGTGACAACTGTGTATAGCTCCTGTTCTGTCCCAGAAAAACTGACCAGTGGTCAGTGGACACTCTGACCACCCCTTCATTGGGATCTGAGGTATGAGGGGTGAATAAGCCCTGACTGAAGGGTCTTCCCAGCACTGAGCAAACCTTCCTCCCTCTGTGCCCAGAACACACAACATCCCTGCCCTGATCACATGCCAGAAAGCCAAAAGACCTGTGCAGCATGGCCGGGGGACATGTGGCAAGTCCCACTGGGGCTCTTGCACCCTCGCCAGCTACCTTCCCACCACGCTCCACAGTCTCATGGACCTTCTTCAGGAAGTCTCGCTCCCGACAGCGCTTGGAGTCACGGATGGTGGTGGCATAGGTGGACTCTGTGATGAGTAGGTTGGGGCGGCACTTATCAATCCAGGCGGCTCTAGAACACAGGTGGGCATGGCCAGAGGGAGACAGTCCACACGGTAGCTAGGCTATACATGGCCACGGCCCTCCTGGACCCTCTGGTGGGAAGCCTGCCTTCTCTGCACAGGCCCAGGCCATCGACTGTCACGGCAACGCTTGAAGGGAGATAGGAGGACACCCAGGGGACAGTGATACAGACCACTCAGGTACCCGACACACCCGCCGAGGGTCACTATACCCTTGCAGGGACTTCCATGAATGAAACAAATGCACAGGCCTACTTACCCCAAATGCCGGTCTGGGGTCATGTTGTAGTCCCCCTGGCAAAGAATGTGGTGATGAGGAGGGGCCTACTACCACTCCTCAACCAGACAGCCCTCCCTGTGTCCTGAGTTTCCACTGACCGTGTACACCACAGACTCTGAGCCCACTTTAATCTGGAACATGGCCGCCCCCAGCACATGGCCCGCATAGTAAGCCTTGATTTCCAGCTCATCGTCCACCTGCAGAGAAGAGGGCTGACCTCAGGTCTGTGGGCTGCACCGGTCAGAGGGCAGGGAGGTGGAGTCTAGGGCAGCAGTGGGCATGAGTCGATGACATCATTCGAGCCTTTCACTATGCCTGTTTTTTTCCATATGCAACATCCAATTCTGGTCAGAAGCAACCGGACACTGGAAATGGGACAATAGGGACGGAAATAGGAGAAACAACAGTCTACAGAAGCAGACTCAGGGCACCTGGGGTTTTCAAGCACAGACTTTAAAAGAATTGTTTTTAACATTCAGAGAAAGAGAGAATTAAGAATATTAGCAAAAACCTAGAAACTATTAAATACAAGGGAAATCTTAAAACCAGAAACTATAATCCAAATTAAGAATTCAATAGAGCCATACTACAAGGTAATCTACATAGTGCAATCCCTATCAAAATACTGGGGCCTTCCAGGTGGCTCAGTAGTAAAAAAATCTGCCTGCCAATGCAGGAGATGCAAGAGATGCAGGTTTGATCCCTGGGTTGGGAAGATCCCTGGGAGGAGGAAATGGCAACTCACTCCAGTATTCTTGCCTGGAGAATCCCATGGACACAGAAGCCTGGTGGGCTGCAGTCCATAGGATCACACAGAGTCAGATATGACTGAGCAGCTGAGCACACAGCACATCAACATAACCATTTTTCACAGAACAAGAACAAATAATTTTAAAATTTGTGTGGAAACACAAAAGACCCTAAAAAGCCTAAACAATCTTGACAAAGAACATAGCTAAAGGAAACACTCCCCAATTTTAGACTACACTGAAAAGCTACAGTCATCAAAACTACATGGTAAATGGAGAGAAAAATGGAGAAAAACAGAGCTGGAGTTATCAGGCTCCCTGACTTCAGACTACTACAAAGCTACAGTAATCAAAGCAATCTGGTACCGGCACAAAAACAGAAATACAGATCAATGGAGCAGGACAGAAAGTCCAAAAATAAACCCACACACTTACGGTCAATTAATCTATGACAAAGGAGGCAAGACCATACAATGGAGAAGGGAGAGTCTCTTCAATAAATGGTGCTATAAACACTGGACAGATACATGTAAAAGAATGACATTAAAACATTAACACCACATACAAAAATAAACTCAAAACAGATTAAAGGCCTAAATGTTAAAGAGCAGACACCATAAAACCCTTAGAAGAAAACATGGACAGGATACTCTCCAGCATAAATAGCAGCAGTATCTTTTTGGGTCCGTCTCCTAGAATAATGGAAATAACAAAAGTAGACAAATGGGACCTAAATTAAACTCAGAAGCTTTTGCATGGCAAAGGAAACCATAAACAAAACAAAAAGACAACCTACAGAATGGGAGAAAATATTTGCTTATGATGAAACTGACAAGGTATTAATCTCCAAAATACACAAACAGCTCACACAGGTCAATTATCAGAAAAACAACTCAGACTTCTCTGGTTAGCCAGTGGTTAAGAATCTGCCTGCCATTGCAGGGGACATGAGTTCAATCCCTGATCCAAGAAGATTCCACCCACTACAGGGCAACTAAGCCCATGCACTACAACTCCTGAGCCCATGTGCCACAATTACTGAAGCTCTTGTGCCCGAGAGCCCGTGCTTCACAACGAGAAGCCACTGCAATGAGAAGCCAACACACTGCAACCAGAAAGCAGTCCCTGCTCACCACAACTAGCGAAAAGTCTATGCACAGCAACAAAGACCAGTGCAGCCAAAAACAAAAATTATTTTAAAAAATTTAAAAAAAAAACTTCCAAAATCCAAAAATGGGCAGAAGATCTAAACAGACATTTCTCCAAAGAAGACATACAGCTGGCCAACATGCTCATAAAAAGATACTTATCACTGCTAATTAGTACAGAATTGCAAATCAAGAGTATAATAAGGTACCACTTTATAAAAAAGTCTACAAATAATAAATGCTACAGAGGGTGTGGAGAAAAGTGAACCCTCCTACACTGTTGGTGGAAATGTAAATTGTTGCAGCCACTATAGAGAATGGTATGGAGTTCCTTCAAAAAGCCAAACATAAGAGTTGCCATATGATCCAGCAGTCCTACTCCTGGGCATACATCCAGAGAAAACAATAATTCGAAAAGATAACATGCACCCAAATGTTTACTGTTTACTATTTACAATAGCCAGGATATGGAATCAACCTAAATGCCCCTCGACAGATGAATGGATAAAGATGTGGTATACACAGACACACAGGACTACTACTCATTTAAAAAATGAAATTTTGCCATTTATAGCAACATGGATGGACTTGGAAGGCATTATGCTAAGTGAGATAAGTCAGATAGACAAATACTGTATTATATCACTTAATATGTGAAAAATAAAAAATACAACTAGTGAATGTAACAAAAATGAAACAGATTCACAGACATAGAGAACAAACTACTAGCAGGGAGAGGGAAGAGAGAAAAGGTGAGAAGCACGGGGGATTAAGAGGTACAGGCTCTTATGCATAAAATAAGCTACAAGGATATGTTGTATAGCACACAGAAGAGCGCCAATATTTTACAATAACCGTACATGAAGTACATATATATATATACACACACACCTCATGAGAAGAGATGACTCACTGGAAAAGACACTGATGCTGGGAGGGATTGGGGGCAGGAGGAGAAGGGAACAACAGAGGATGAGATGGCTGGATGGCATCACCGACTCGATGGACGTGAATCTAAGTAAACTCTGGGAGCTGGTGATGGACAGGGAGGCCTGGCATGCTGCGATTCATGGGGTCGCAAAGAGTCAGACACGACTGAGCAACTGAACTGAACTGAACTGATACATGAAGTATAGCCTTTACTGATTTCCGTCCTGAATATTCATTGGAAGGACTGATGCTGAAGCTGAAACTCCAATACTTTGGCCAACTGATGGGAAGAACTGCCTCATTGGAAAAGACCCTGATGCTGGGAAAGATTGAAGGCAGCAGGAGAAGGGGATGACAGAGGATGAGATGGTTGGATGGCATCACCGACTCAATGGACATGACTCTGAGCAAGCTCTGGGAGTTGGTGATGGACAGGGAAGCCTGGCATGCTGCAGTCTATGGGGTCGCAAAGAGTTGGACATGACTGAGCGACTAAACTGAACTGACTGATACATGAAGTATAGCCTTTACAAACTGTGAGTCACTATACTGCATATCTGCAACATATAATATTGTAAGTCAATTATATTTCAACTTTAAAAACAAAATTCAACAGATGAATTTAACAGCACATTATATACAACCAAGAAGATAATTAATGAACTAAAATAAATAGAAAAGGCTATCCAGCATGAAATATAGACATGAGGACAATGGAGGGTCTGGAGGAGAAAGATCTCTATTCAGCCTGGAGGGAGCTGGGGGCAGCTCCAGGGCCTCACACCTGAGCAGGAAGGTAACAGGTAGAGCCAGCATGGCCACCTGCCAGAGTCTGCAGTGAAGGACAGAATCCCACAAGCCACCTGAGAGGATTCTCCTACAAATAGCAGATGGAAGATATGAATCCTGGTAGGACCTGCAGAAGATATGAATCCTGGAAGGACCTGCTGCCCTAGAATTCTGAACCTAAGGGAGAAAGTCTTTTGACAATAAAGGTGAAATAAACCCATCTGCAGACAAATAGAGTTGAGAGCATTCGTCACCAGCAGATCCATACTGATGTTCTTCATTGCAAATACAAAGTGAAGAACACAGGAAGGAGCAGGGACACAGCTAGGATAATGGAGATGGTACCTGGCAAATGGTGAGGGCCTTGGGGCCTCATAGGCTGACAAAATTAAAATCCTGCTAGGTGGAAATAAGAGCTGGTGAGTAGATGGGGGTATGTGAATTTAAGATCCTCTGAGACGCTTTCATTGTCTAGGAAAGAGGCAAAAGTTCCAAGTACCTTAGAGCTGAGTTGTCATGGATGTGTTTTGTAATCTCTGCCACAAAAAGAATTATAAAAGAACATATAATTACTAACAAAATAAGAGGATGAGTGGAGTTTTAAAAACTCAGTCCAGAAAAAGACAATAAAGGAAATAAAACATAGAACAGGATGGACAAACTGAAAGTAAATGGAAAAAGATACACCTAAATCCCAAATTATTACACGTGGAGTACACACCTCTCCTACAGGACAGACCATCAGGTTGCATTAAACCCAAGCCGTGGAAAAGAGTCACATTTAAAATATGATGCAGAGGGACTTCCCTAGTGGTCCAGTGGTTAAGACTCTGCACTTCCACTGCAAGGGGAGTGGGTTTGATCCTTGGTCAAGAAACTAAGATCCCACATGCTACACAGTGCAGCCAAAAAAAAATATGCTGCAGAAAGGGTAAAAGTACTAAAAAGAGCAAGGATTCAAGGTGTGGGAGGGGTGAGCTTTCACCAGAAAGGCAAACTTGAAGATTAAAGCATTATTGAGGATACACAGAATGATTCAACTCAACAAACTGTTCAACCGGAAAGATAAGATGACCCCAAATGTCAGACTCATGGTAACAAGCAAAACCTAGACTCCTTAAAAGAAACAGACAAATCCATGATCCTTGTGATAAATTTTACATTTGATGTCACGCCTGCCTCAAGTCTTACCCCTCCAGCCTGAGTCAGTCCACTGCAACGAGCCCACACTCTGGTCTCCGACCAGCCCGGCCTGCCCCTGTGTGCTCAGATGGCACAGTGGCCCTCTTTGGCCTCTTCCACGCTCTCAGGCAGAGCCAGGGAGTGGCAGGGGCCCTGCTCAGTGCTGGATCTGAGCTGGGCCCCATGCTCACCTTCTGCCTCCAAGGGTCCCTGGGATGGCAGCAGAGTGAGTTGGGGGTGGGGGGTGGGGGGGCTGACCTGCACCGTCTGGTGGAGGTGGACGGCCACCACTTTCTTCATGCAGTCCTTGATCATCTGGGACGTGAAGAAGTTGGCCTCGCCCTTCTTATCCACGGCGATCTTGCGGTAGTCTTCCAGCAGGATGGGGCAGATGGCCTGGGTGGGCTGGGTCATGTAGATGGGCCCATCGTAGCCCACCATCTCACTGAAGTAGGGGAGTGCCCCGCAGTGGTCCAGGTGGAAGTGGCTGCAGGCGCAGCACCAGTCAGCTGGATGCCCCCCAACCTCCCACCCAGCAACCCTACCCCCATTCCTCTGCTCACTGAGGGTCCACTGTGTCAGACATGGCCCTGAACACGGGAGGGGGAGAGGGCAAAAGGGACTCAGGCCCAAGTATCTAGCGACGCCACCAGCAGGCAGTTACTGTGGGATCAGCTTCACATTTCAGAAAGGAACAAGAAGGGGCTCAGGGCAACATGAATCAGGATGCCACTTGGATAGGTGGTCGGTCCGGGGGTGGGGAGGGCACTCACCTGATGATCACACAGTCCAGAAAGTCAGTCAGTCGGCCACTGCGGGTGATGTAGGAAAAGTCTGGGAAGCGCCTCTGTGGAGGGAGAAGCGGAAGTGTCAGGATGCCGCCTGCCCAGGGCTCAGGTGACTGTGGGGCAACCGGGGCTATGGGGATGGTCCCTGGGTCTGGGTGCATTTGAGTCTGATAGCCACACCCACGAAGGCCACCAACTGCTCAGAACCCCTGAGCATGTAGGACAGGGGTCAGGCTGCTGAGCTAGTACGTGAGAGCTGAGACCCCACAACCGTGCCCTGGCTCCAGTACAGTCTGGCCCATGCAGGTGCTCCACCTGTCGGGTGACGGTGGGGGCTGCCCTCCTACCAGTGCCCACTTGCTCCCGTTCCCCATCTGTAGTCAGAGCCTGAGACTCCGAGGCCCAGGTCCCTCGGTGACAACGCCAAGAAGCAGGCTGGATGCCAGGCTGCCCACCCTTGAGACTCACGTCGTCGCTGAAGCCCATGTGCATCCCACAGTCCAGCATGACGTTCTTGCCCGCAATGGACACCAAAATGCAGCTTCGGCCCACATCCTGGCCAGCCCCTGCATGGGAGGACCAGTCAGAGGCACGGGCATGCCCCCTTCTCCCCCACTGCCCAGCGAGGATTTGGGGTAAAAGAAGCAGTAAAAAGACAGGACTGTTCAAGAGTGAGTGGTGAGAAAGCTGCCATAGGGGAAAAGAGGCTGGAAGGAGGACCCTGCAGAGGCCCCTGGGGAGGAACCAGGTGCGAGGAGAGCCTGGGGCTGAAGTGGCCAGAGGGGAACCGGAGCCAACAGGTAGGAGAGGCATGAGGACATCTATGGCGGGGCGGGATGCGTGCTGTGCCCCGGTCGGCCAAGGGCAGGCCACTGCAGCGGGAGGCTGGGTGGGCTATTCTGAGAGTGCACCACAAAAGAGAGCATGTGAAGCTGTGGGGGCAACCCTGCTAAAAGATGCTGCGGATACATGACCGTGGCAGGTTCCCGAAAAGCCCCCGGCACCTGTGCAGAGACCATGGCTGTTCCGATTCTGAGTAACCTGCTGTACCTCCTTCGCACTGCTGTACCGTTTGGGCCTTTAAACTATGCACTTGTATCTTTCGCAAAAGGCAAGCTGGGGGGCGGGGGACGACGTTGGTTTTTGTTTTTAACGCTGCGCGGGTCAAGCAAAACAAGGGCTGACTGACGTGGGGGGAACGGTCCACGGGTAAACGGATCGAGACATATGGAACAGGTGGAAGGCAGCGAGTGCGCGAACGCAGAGGCAGGAGGAAGGTGCACTAAACAGTGGCGCCGGGCGGGGGGCCGCGCGGCGAGGAAGACACGTTCAGGGGTCCCCGGACCTCCGAGCCCCCCACCAGCCTTTCTCGGCCGCTGCTCGCGCAGCCCAGCACTCACCCAGGGGCGTGACCCTGATCTCAGGCATCCTGCCGGGCAAGCCAAGCCAGCGGGCGGGACCCCCGCGGTCCCACGAGACCCCGGTGCCCGAGACCCGGTCCCGGCCACGCGCGCCTGATTCGCGGCTACGCACTGCGCAGGTGCAATCCCAACGGCGCCAGCTTCCGGCGCGCCGGACGGAAACGCTGGCCCGCGCAACGGGCTTTCTGATTGGGCGGCCGGCGGCGAGGCGGTGGGACTGTGGCCGAGGGCCGGGCTGCCGGCCCCGCGGCTGCTGCGGCGGCACAGGTGAGCAGCGGCGGCGCAGGTGAGTGGAGCGCGACGGGCTCAAGGCGGCGCCAGGGAAACCCAGCCCAACCGAGCTGGGCCTGGGCCTTGCCGAGGGGTCGGAGCGGGACCCCCCAGGCGTGGGAGGAGGCGGCCGAGGACCCGGCTCCAACGCTGGCCCGGACCCCGAGCCCCTGTCCCCTCCCTAGGGACTCAGCTGGAGCAGGACCCGCGCAGGACAGGGGCCTTACCCTACTCGAGTCCCGGGTCCCAGCGTGGCGCCACCTGGAGCCCCCTTCTCAGGCGAGATTTCCAGGACTTCCCCGCTCCCACCCGCTGGGCCTGGGGTGCCGGAGGGCCGCCCTCTTTTCCTGGGGACCTTCAGCTTGCCGTCAGCCTCAGGACGAGCCCTCACCTTGGGGCTATGGACTGCCCCAGGGGGAGCCTTGGCGATTCCCTGCATCACTCCCCCAGAGCTGGCAGCCTGCCTGACCCCGCTGCACCGCCACTGCCCTTCCTGTTGTTTCCAAGCTCTGAAAGGCTGCTGGCACTTCCCGTTGGCTGCTGGCTCAGGTTCCGGGCAGGAAAGCCAGGCCCACAGGATGGCTGGTGACCAGGAAGGTAGCCCTGAGGGCCTCAGAGGCCATCTGCTTGGTGGACAGAACACTGAGGCCCTGAGAGAGGGGAGAAGTATTCTGGAAGCCTCCCAATGTCTTCTTCCTGAGGCCAGGCACGGCTGTCCCACACACCTGAAGACGGGGTGAGCTCACCACCGGGCACTCCACCTAGTGCCAGGCACGTGACACAGGCGTAGGGCCTGCAGGGCCTCAGCACCCACTGGGCCCCATCAGAGGCTCCCAGCAACCTGGGTGGTGGGTGGGGCAAAGTGTGCTGGCCCATTTTCCCTAAAGCTGTGGGACAGGATCTTAGGTCAGTGCATGACTTGCCCATGGTATGGAAGGCACCCACATGTGTTCTCTTGGCTGGGCTCTCACCACAGCTCGAATGGCCTCTTCCCATGCGGGCTCTCACAAGACTTCCAGCACTGAGGGCCGAGGAACCCCTGTGCCCAAAGGGGGGAGAGCTTGCCCTGGACAATGAAATGAGACACAGCCTAGTCCCCAGGGCCCATCAGAGCCACACCACAGTGCCACCCTGGGCACCCAGGGAGGCAGGGGCTGGGGTGTCCAGGGGCACCTGCTAACCTCGGGCACTTGGGTGTTTGTGGCGTGACTATGGGAATGCCGGCAGAATCTAGAGGAGTTCTGTGGCCTGGGGCACTTCTGGAGTCCCTGGGACCGGGGGAGGGCCTGTTCCAGCCTTCCTTCTGTGTGGGACATGACATCTCCTTGCCCTCTTCCTACATTCTCACCAGGCTCCAGTTTCTGTAGGGGTGGAACATCTGGTGTCTGTCCTCTGGCAAACACTGACCCCCCACAGCCTCTGTTCTGGGTTTGGGGATATAGCTTCAAGCATGGAAGGGCATGACGCCCCCCCCACCCCGTTTCAGCCCAGTCTGTCTCTCCGTGGTTGTCATCCTTTTACTTGCTGTGTTGGACTTCCTGTCTTTGTTAAAAACCACACACACACACACCCACCACTAGGATGTCACCCCAGTGGGCTGGGCTGTTGGTTGCACTCACAGTGCACCCAGGTGGCTTCCTGGCTCTGTGTGGGGACTCAGCAAATACTTCTCCAGTTAGTAGGAACAGACACACCCTGGAGAGACACAGGCTATAAACAAGCAAGAAAACCCGAGCAGAGATGCTCTCCACAAGTGAGATATATCAGGTTTGACAAGCCTGAGTTATGGGGAGCCATGCTAAAAGCAAAGGGCCCTGCTGTAGCCCAAGCAGAGCAAGGTTGCTTCTGGGGAGGAGGGGCTGACCTGGGGGTGGAAGTCCTCATGGGTTTTCACTGGAGAGCCATGGGATCCCAGCTGTTTCTTTCCAACTGCCTCCACTCCCCCTCCCCAAAATAATGACCCAAAGAGGAGCCTACTCGCCAGGAGACAACCCACAGCCCAACCCCCTGTGTGTTCCAGCTCCTGTTGAAAATGGATGACTTGGAGTCAGAGTTCAATCTGAAAGTCGTCCTGGTCAGTTTCAAGCAGTGTCTCAATGAGAAGGAGGAGGTGCTGCTGGAATACTACCTCGCTGGCTGGAGGGGGCTGGTCAGGTGCGCGAGGGGCTTCCCCAGCCACACGTCCCACCTGTATCCTGTCGGTCCAGTGCAGATCGGCCATCCTCACTTGCGGCCCAGGAGGTGGGAGTGGTCTCGCCCACACCCAGGCTGAGAGTGCCTGCTCTCTTCGTGCAGGTTCCTGAATAGTCTGGGCACCATCTTCTCATTCATCTCCAAGGACGTGGTGACAAAGCTGCAGATCATGGACCAGCTGCGAAGCGGCCCCCAACAGGAGCACTACAGCAGCCTGCAGGCCATGGTTGCCTACGAAGTGGGGAACCAACTGGTGGACCTGGAGCGGCGCTCACGCCACCCCGACTCAGGCTGCCGGACGGTGCTACGGCTACACCGCGCGCTTCGTTGGCTGCAGCTCTTCCTGGAGGGCGTCCGCACAAGCCCTGAGGACGCACGCACTTCCGCGCTCTGCACCGACTCCTACAATGCCTCACTGGCCACCTACCACCCCTGGATCATCCGCCGGGCTGTCACCGTGGCCTTCTGTGCGCTGCCCACACGCAAGGTCTTCCTGGAGTCCATGAACGTTGGGTCCTCCCAACAGGCTGTGGAGATGCTAGACGAGGCCCTGCCCTTTATTGAGCGTGTCTACAACATCTCACAGAAGCTCTATGCCGAGCACGCCCTACTGGACCTGCCATAGGGGCTGGTGGGACCCAGGTTGGGTGGGCTTCCCCTGATCCAGAGGTGGGCAGGGCAGCCAGGACCCATCAGTCCCACTATGGAACTTTCCGGGCTCCCCTGTGAGCTGAGCTTGTCAGGAGCCACTCAGATTGTGCACACGGGCCACAGACGGGCTTCAACAGAGAAGGCAGACGTTGGCCATCTGCTCTGCGCCCGGCCTCTCCCTTGCCCAGGCATCTCATCTTTACCCTCTACCAAGTTACACCCGTGTAGTTAGGCCTCTCCTGGGTGGGTGAAGTGCTGGAGGCGGGGGCAGGCAGGATCAGTGTTGATGGAAAAGCTGCCCCTACTTGGGGGTCAAGTCTGTGGGCTGGGATGTCACAGGGCCCAGGATGTAGTGTTTGCCCACCTGGGCTGCCTTGAGCCTTCTGTACCAGCTAGCTGACCCCAGGACAGGGAGAAAACCCCTGGGCAGGGGTCACCTCTGCGGGATTTCTCCCTGCCCCTGGCCTCCTCCTTAGCTAGGGGCGCACATGTCCTTGGCTGTGACAGTAGGACCTGAAGCCCCGAAGAAAGGCCTGCTCTGCCTCCACTGCCCTGCACGCACACAGCAGCCTCCTGCAGCCTCAAGTCTGCACAGCACAGCCCTGGATGAGAATCCCTGGAGCCCAGGACTCCTCTGCCCAGTGCTCGCTTCTCCCTCCTCAGTGTCTACACATCCAGATGCTGTGTCCGTTCTTGCTGGCCCCATACTGCTCTCTGTCCCCATGTACTCAGGAGACCTAGAATGACACAACATGGGAGGGAGCCTGGGCCACTTCGCCTCAGTGACAGGCTGACAGGTGACCACACCCAGCCTGGCCATCATCCAGTGATTGGGGGTCTGGTCCCCCCCCACATCCTCTTCTCTGTGAGCCCAGAATGTCAGGTGCCGAGGTGACAGTATCCACCAAGAGCAAATGTGTGTAAGTGAGCTTTCAGGGACCCTAGGCGCTGTAACACAGGTGATGGCTTTTCCAAAATAAAGAAATTGCACTTAGAGAATGAAGTATTGCGCTCCAGGACAAGGGTGCTGCCAGGCCATCGGCAGTGTCAACCACAGGAGCATGAGGCATGTCCTGGCCAGTGTTGGGGTCCTTCCCATCTCTGTGCAAGCTTGGTCCCTCAACCACTGCCAAGGTCTGAATTATCTTCATTGGACAGGTGAGAAGACTGAGTCACAGAATCACCTGAGTGGCTGAGTTGGAAGCGCAGATCTGAGGTCAGCTACATACCCTGTACAGAGAGGAAAATCTGCCGAGTTGCAGCCAGGCCTGGACAGAAAGAGGACACGTGTCAGGCAGGGTCCTCGCAGACGCTGCCTGATGGCCAGAGCTGAACAGCAGTGCCCAGCACAAGCCACCTCCTGGGATGCTGCTGCACCCTGTCCAGCTCTGGCCATATCCGTGGGGGCCAGAGCCTGGAATGTTACTGACAAAAGCCAGAGAGCAAGGGCTGCACGTGTGCCTGTGTGCATACATGTGTGCCGCTGTAGGCACTGTGTGTGTGTGTGGTGTGCATTCTGTGTGCTGTGCCTCGTGCGCCCTCCCCAAGGGTGTGTGATGTGTGTGTGTGTGTTTGTGGTGAGCGTGCCGTCCATGTGTGCCCTCCCCAAGGCCATAGGTTCAGGCAAAGACCAGGTCCCTAAACCAATTCCATGAACGTCTACCAGGCCCCACTGCACCCTCAAGGGCATCTCTAGCCTCCCCCAGCTCCCTTGGGTGCCTGTGGCCTGGTGTCAGTGAGGCCCCCAGCCCAGACTCGGGGAGACCAGTCCCCGGGTACCCAGTGGCTAAGCAGGAGCCACCAGCCTGTGGGTCTCAGGTCCATTGTCACACCTGGTGCTGGCATGACTGCTGCAGCCTATTTGGTTACAGCATTTCCTCCCTTGTTTGCATGCCTCCCCACCCAGGCCCAGCTGTGAGCTCTGTCCCTGAAGGAAGGCACCTGCCCTCTGAGGCCTTGGGGCCCCCAAAGCTTCTAGGCCACAGTCCCTCAAGGTGCACTGTTCCCAGGCAGGCTGAGGACATGACCCCCACCTCGGGACCCTTCCCACACAGTTATGGGTGAGAGCCATGCTGGCCAGCCAGCCACTGTCCTTTTGGTTGCAGGGCTGCGAGATACGCCCCTCAGGCTGCCCCTGGGCCTGCAGTCCACTCTGCTCCACCCCGACTATAGACAGTGCCTCTCTGGGCTGGGTGTGGGGTGGTGTGCTGCCCCACTGGCACCTCCATTACTGTCTCACATCAGCTGGAGACTCCAGGCCCCTCTGTCAAGCAGATCCAGGGTGACCCCTCCATAACAGGTGGGTACCAGGGGTTTGGACACAGGTAGCAATGTCGTAGGCAGCAGCTGCTTAGAGCCTGCCTGCCCAGGTCACCATCACCTAGAGGGCCTGTTGGTGCCATCAGGATTAGAAGCCCAACATGAGCACACCTGAGGGGCCCAGGAGATGGGGACAACTCCAGGGCCCCAAGGAGGCAGGTGAGCAGGCAAGCGCTTTGCTAAACAAATCCTGTGCCCCTCCCCACCTGACTCCCCATATCTGGGGCCCCATTCAGTCTGCCCACTTGCTACTGGAAGTGCAAGTGCAAGCAGTCTGTCCTGCTGCTGGAAGCTGCCACCTGCCATGCTGGGCCTGACTTTCCTGGGCCTCGTGGCTGCACTGGGTGTCAGGCTGGGGGCCCCATTGTGCCTGTCCCGGCAACTCAGCCTGCCAGGGGACTATATTCTGGGCGGGCTTTTCCCTCTGGGCTCGGCCGAGGATACCGGGTTAGGTGACAGGATGCAGCCCAATGCCACCATGTGCACCAGGTAGGGAGGCCGGGAGTGAGGGCAGGGGAGGTGGGGCTGGGGGAGGTCGGTCAGGGGGAGAGGCGTCAGCCACCCGCAGCCCCTGTGGCCCCAGGTTGTCGGCCCCCGGCCTGCTCTGGGCACTAGCCGTGATGATGGCTGTGGAGGAGATCAACAATGCGTCCACCCTGCTCCCTGGGCTGCGTCTGGGCTATGACCTGTTCGACACATGCTCGGAGCCCGTGGTCGCCATGAAGCCCAGCCTGGTGTTCATGGCCAAAGCGGGCAGCCGCAGCATCGGCGCCTACTGTGACTACACGCAGTACCAACCCCGCGTGCTGGCTGTCATCGGGCCCCACTCATCCGAGGTTGCCCTGGTCACTGGCAAGTTCTTCAGCTTCTTCCTCATGCCCCAGGTGCGCCCCCTCCCCATGTCCCATCCTCCTGCCCACCTCAGGAGCCTCAGTGTCAGGAGCCATCTTCGCCTGCAGGTCAGCTACGGCGCCACCACTGACCGGCTGAGCAACCGCGAGACATTCCCATCCTTCTTCCGCACGGTGCCCAGCGACCGTGTGCAGGCAACGGCCATGGTAGAGCTGCTGCGGGGGCTACGCTGGAACTGGGTGGCCGCCGTGGGCAGCGACGATGAGTACGGCCGGCAGGGCCTGAGCCTCTTCTCCAGCCTGGCCAACGCCAAGGGCATCTGCATAGCTTATGAGGGCCTGATGCCGCTGCCCCGTGCTGGCGGCACGCGGCTGGGCTCTGTGCAGAGCCTGTTGCACCAGGTGAACCACAGCAGTGTGCAGGTGGTGGTGGTGTTCTCCTCTGCACATGCCACCTACAGCCTCTTCAGCTATACCATCCACTACAAGCTCTCACCCAAGGTATGGGTGGCTAGTGAGGCCTGGCTGACCTCAAGCCTGGTTATGATGCTACCGGGCATGGAGCGTGTGGGCACGGTGCTTGGCTTCCTGCATCAGGGTGCCGAGATGCCCGAGTTCCGGTCCTATGTGCAGACCCGCCTGGCCCAGGCCGCCGAGCCCGCCTACTGCGCCTCACTAGAGGCAGGGCGGCTGGGTCTGGAGGAACACGTGGTGGGGCCACGCTGCCCGCAGTGTGACCGCGCCTCCCCGGAGAACGTGACCGATGGGCTGCTTTACCACCAAACCTTTGCCGCCTATGCAGCCGTGTATAGCGTGGCCCATGCGCTTCACAAAGTGCTGCTCTGCAACTCCTCGGGCTGCCCCACACAGGAGCCCGTGCGGCCCTGGCAGGTGAGGTCGCAGAAGCTGTGTCTCTTGGCTCATCCCCCAATCCACTGGTGCCCCTGAGGAGGAGGTGGGGGGCGGGGAGGGGGGGGGGTCTGGCCAGTGGCAACTCCCTGCCCAGCCCTACCATCCCGATTTCCCCACTGCCCCCTGATCCTCTCACTGCCAGCTCCTGGAGAACATGTACAACATGAGTTTCCGTGCATACAACCGGACCCTGCAGTTCGACACCAGCGGGAATGTGGACCTGGCTTATGACCTGAAGCTGTGGGTGTGGCGGGACCAGATGCCCACACTGCGCACCGTGGGCAGCTACAACGGCAGCCTGGAGCTCCAGTTCTCCAACATGATCTGGCACACCCCGGGAAACCAAGTGAGCACCAGTCGTGTCCAGGGAGCGGGGGCGGCCCCCAGGGCTTGGGCCAGTGCAGCCAGCCATACAGAGCCTGAGCCCTGCCGCCCGCCAGGAGCCCGTGTCCCAGTGCTCGCGGCAGTGCAGGGAGGGCCAGGTGCGCCGCGTGAAGGGCTTCCACTCCTGCTGCTACGACTGTGTGGACTGCAAGGCAGGCAGCTACCAGCGCCACCCAGGTGAGCCCTCAGGGTCCAGCCCATGCTGAGGCCCAAGTGAGGGCGGGTACCACAGGGTCGGGTCTGGTGCAGAGGCAAGGCCAGGGAAGCCAGTGGCCCCCAGCATCCCCTCTCTCCTCCCTTGCCTCAGACGATGCCCTCTGCAGCAAGTGTGACCAGGACCAGTGGTCCCCAGACCGGAGTACCCGGTGCTTCCCCCGCAGGCCCAGGTTCCTGGCGTGGGGGGAGCCGGCAGTGCTTGGGCTGCTCCTGCTGCTGGGCATCGTTCTGGGTCTGGTGCTCATGGCCCTGGGACTCTTCACCTGGCACCGGGACAGCCCACTAGTTCAGGCCGCAGGGGGGCCCCGAGCCTGCTTTGGCCTGGCCTGCCTGGGCCTGGTCTGCCTCAGCGTCCTCCTGTTCCCTGGCCGGCCCAGCACTGCCAGCTGCGTGGGTCAGCAGCTGCTGCTTCACCTCCCACTCACCGGCTGCCTGAGCACACTATTCCTGCAGGCGGCCGAGATCTTTGTGGGCTCAGAGCTGCCACCTAGCTGGACAGACTGGCTCCACAGCCGCCTGCGGGGGCCCTGGGCCTGGCTGGTAGTGCTGCTTGCCATGCTGGCAGAGGCGGCGCTCTGCTCCTGGTACCTGGCAGTCTTCCCACCGGTGGTGGTAACAAACTGGCACGTGCTTCCCACGGAGGCACTGGTGCACTGTCGCGTGAGCTCCTGGATCAGCTTCGGAGTGGTGCATGCCACCAACGCCATGCTGGCCTTTCTCTGCTTCCTGGGCACCTTCCTGGTACAGAGCCGGCCTGGCCGCTACAACAGCGCCCGCAGCCTGACCTTCGCCATGCTGGCCTACTTCATCACCTGGGTCTCCTACATCCCACTCTTTGCCAATGTACACATGGTCTCCCACCCCCCTGTGCAGATGGGCACCATTCTCTTCTGTGTGCTGGGCATCCTGGCCACCTTCCACCTGCCTAAGTGCTACCTGCTGCTGTGGCGGCCAGACCTCAACACCCCTGAGTTCTTCTTGGGAGGGGGTCCCAGTGATGCCAGAGGGCAAGGCAGCAGTGGGGTTGGGGAGGAGACTCAGGGGAAAAACAAGTGACCCTTGAGTAGGTGACGTCACCCCAGTGAACTCAGACCTCATTGAGTCACCCCCAAACCAAGTTTCCATACAGCAACCTGCAGACTGTGCCTTAACTCCACTGAGACAGCCCTAGATTCTGCTCACTTTGACCCCAGAGTGACCTCCAGAGTGCATAAGCGGCCTCAGCCCAATGGGATCTCATCACCTGGGGCCCCAGAGTTAGGCTCTGTCTTGTCCTGGCCGAGCCCTGGCCTACACAGGTGACCCAGCCCCCCTGTTCCGGTCAGAGGCCCATGGAGGGTTCTTGGGGCTCCATGAAGCTACACTGAGTGCTCAGGAAGACCCCAGGGGCCACATGAAGGCAAAGCTGGGTGTCACTTGCCTGCTTGGGCCCAGTGGGAGGCCCCCACCCAGCATCCTCTCCAAGCATCACAAGAGTGGGATGTTGGGAGGTGGATGGGGCTTTCTCAACCCCTCTGCAGGAGTGTGTACCTGACCTGGGCCCCAGCACAAGGCAGAGGCCTCCTCAGAAGGGAGGGGGCACCCAGCTTCCTTCTCTCTCCCCGGCCAGTGAGCCAGCAGAATGGGGGCCAGTCACCTCCAGCACCACAGACAGAACCCAGGCAGGTGGGGGGGCGGGGTCAGCACTATGGCCAGCACCAGCCACAGGGACCCCTACCCCCCACCCCACCACTGCCCCAGAGCCAGGAGCCAGCACCACGGACAGAAGACTGCCTGCCAGGTCGGCTGTGGGCAGGGCCTTGGTGAGCTGGCACCCAGAGGACAGCACCAAGCCAGTCCTGGGTCAGTTCTCAGCTGGACCCTGGGGAAGCTGACCCAGCCCCTGCAGCCCAACCTCCTAAATTGGGGAAGAGACACAGGTCACACATCAGTCCCATAAAATTAAATGCTTTTTAGTGTTTAAAATAGCATTTACACAGAAGCAGCTCTATTAACTATCTGGACGACGCTCCCAACTGGATATAGTATCTACAGTGCAGACATGTGCAGGCCAGAGATGCCGGACGGAAGCGACGTGCATGTGTGCGTGCGTGGGTGGGTGGGAGGCCACCCTAAGATCGCGAGGAAGGCTGAGCTGGCCACGCCCTCTGCTCTAAACCCTGCCCCTGCAGCAGCTGTGCGCGTCTGTGGCCCTCACTCCTCAGGGTCCCCCATCCTGCCGCCTCCCCCTCACTGTCCTCCCACACACCTCCAGACACGACCTGTGTCCCTGCAGGGGGGACACACGAAACTGTTCCGGTGGCTGGGGTAGGGGACAGCTGTCTTGGCTGCCACCCCACAGAGCACACAGGTCAGACAATAAATAAATAAATTAGATCCCTACCTTGGGCAGCCACAGAGGGACCTTGGGGCTATGATTCTAACCCCGAGAGGATCCCCCCCAATCCTGGCCTAGGCAAGATGGGTGGGGCCTGTGAATCCGGTGGGGCCAAGGCCTAGTGGCCACCTCTCAGCTCAGTTTGAGGCCCCGTGCGCAGCTCTGTGGGCAAGCTGGGGTCCCTGAGGCATATGCCAAGAGGGGTGAGTCAGACCTGCCCGAGCACAGGGAGATGCCCCTCCTGCCCAGTGTCTGCACTGACAGCTCCAGCCAGAGGTGGATGAGCCGCCATCCAGATCACGGTAGTCTGGGCTGCCCTCAGCCCCTCCTCTCCAGCCTGCTGCCACTCTATCCAGGCCCAGACCCCATGGCAGCAAGCACAGGTCTGACCTGGGATGGCTGCTAAGGCAAGCCCACACAAGCTCTAGGAGCAGGGCCCTCCTGCAAGAGCAGGACCCTGGGCCTCCCCACAGCAGGGCTGGGCTGAAGGCACTCTCGCCTGGTCACATGATATCCACGAAGAACTCACAGGGGTTCCCCATGGCTTTCTGGAAGGACTGGCGGCTGCCTGTCAGCTCTGGCGGGACAGCGGCCAGCTCCCGGACAGGTGGCCCCCCAGGTGGCCCACCCACCACCGAGTAGGCCTTTGTCAGGGGGTGCAGCGGGGGGAGCCCTGGGGCAGCAGCTGAGGCCTGGCTTCGCGGGCTGCTGCCACGGCTGAGCTGGCTAGGCGGACGCTCCCGCCAGCCACTGCCACCCGCCCCGCTTGGTGCCGTGTGGTCTGACTCGCTGCCACTGCCCCCAGCTCCAGCCGACCGGCTCTCCTTCTCACGGCCTAGGGCCCGACGGCTGCTCCCGCCAGCACTCCGGGTGGACCCACTGCTTTTGCTTCCTGAGGTCAAGAACAGGGTAGAGGAATGGTATGGTCAGTACTAGGCCTTCCCTCTTCCAAGACAGATGGCCATGGCCGGGACCACCAGGGGCAGCACCAATGGTCCTGAGAGGGTGCAGGTAGGGGTGGGCAGCCATGCAGACATGAGGGCCGGACTGGCCCAGCCCAGGGAAGCGGGAGCAGCTGCAGCAGGCAGAGGAGAAGAGATGCGGGGTGGGGCAGGGGCAGGGCAGTAGCAGACAGGCAGGGATGCTCCAGGGCCAGCTCGATCCCCACTCCTCACACCAGTGCCTGGACCGAGGGCCTGGTCTTGCAGCTGGGAAACGGAGGCCCAGAGGAGGCCGTGTGCCCGGGGCACTGCCAGCCATCATGGGCTCCCCACCCGAGACCCGCCTTTCATCTGCCCCCAGAGCCCTGGCCGGCTACTCAGCTCAGCCCCTCCTGGGCACTCAGGACATGTTGGGAACCTGAAGACGCCCACTGGCTGGGGACGTGTGGAGGGGGACGCCGAGCAGGACCCTGGCTTACCGGCCCCGAGGGTCCGCTCCGCTAGTCCTTCAGTCTAAGGCTTGCTCAGCACAAAGCAAGGGATAGAGGAGTTACACACCAGCGGCCAGGCACCCACACCACCAGCTGGGCCTGTGCAAGGTCCACCGGCGCCCAACACGCTTCCCCTTGGACATTGCTGCCCCTGCTCCACTGTTCTCTCTCCCCCCATCCCCTCCTGTCCATCAAGCCACCCACCAGACCTTTCCCCAGATGCTGGGGGCATGTGCCCACTGGCCTCAGCACCCAACATGCTTCCCCTTGGACACTGCTGCCCCTGATCCACTGTCCTCTCTCCCCGTCCCCTTCTGGTTCCACCGAGTCACCCACAAGACCTCTCCCCTGATGCTTTTGGGGGCATGTGCCCATGGGCCTTGCTGTGCCCCCCACTCAGCCTCAGGACAGTGTCCCAACAGGTGCTCCTCTGTGACACCCCAACCCCACTGCTCAGCTGCCCTTCACGGCCCAGCAGCAGGCTGCAGCTATCTGCGAAACTGTTACCTCTGCTCCCTGCTGTGCTACAGGTGCTGGGGGGAGGGTCTCAGGGCCCCTCTGCTGCTCCCCCACCCTGGGCCATCACATCCCATGCCCCCATTCCCACACCATCTCTCTCTGCCTCTGCCACATCTGGACCACCAACACACCCACACAACCCCTGAAGACTCTAGGCTCTTCTCTCCAGCCTCTGACCACTCACCCCTTTCAGAAGAAGCAACCCAGGGCCCGAGCACAGAGCAGATGGGAGTGCAGGGCAGGGGGCGGGCACACAGGGCAGAGCCAGGCTGTGGGGGAGGGGGCTGGGCTTTAAGGTAGGGGCCCTCACCTTCACTCTGCTGACTCCCGGCACTGCCGCTGCCATAGCCGAAGCCAGGGTCCTGATATGCGGGCGGGAAGCAGGGCGGGGGCCCCGGGTACTGGTAGGGGTAGCCCTGACCCAGGGGCCAGGGGGCAGCCGGGTGGGGCAGCGGGGCCAGCGTGTCCTGATCGGAGGCCCCACTGGAGCCGCTGTTGAGGTTCAGGGCGGCAAGATCTGCGAGAGGGGAGGGCAGAGGGAGTGCGGGTGAGGGTGGAGAGGGCGGCCTTCCCTCGGGGACTCCGCTCCGCAGCCCCACTCACTGCTGCACAGGTCCCCGAAGACGTAGTAGCACTGCTCTGAGAAGGTGACCTTGTTGACTGTGTGCCGCAGGAAGCCACGCTTCAGCATGCTGCTGGCGTACTTGCGCGCCTCCCGCCGCTCCCGGAAGCCCTCCAGGTGTGCGTACAGCCAGTCCACCACATCTGCCCCTGGGTGGCAGCAGGCGGCAGTCAGAGGCAGGGACCTGGTCCCACCCCCAACACCCTCCCCAACCCCCCACTAAACCCCCCCACCCCGCCCACCACTTGCAGAAGCCCTCCAGGTGCACACACAGCCAGTCCACCACATCTGCGCCTGCGTGGCAGCGGGCAACAGTCGGGCAGGGACCCAGCCCCACCCCCACCCCAGGGTGCAGGACCCTCACCGATGACAGCGTTGGCGATGGTGATCTTGAGCCACATGCGGTCCCGGATCTCCAAGCCTGAGTCCGGCAGCTGCATGACCCGGACGACAGCACCCATGTCGCTCTTCACCGTCAGCGGCGCCTCCTCCAGCTCTGCAAGGCACGGCCCCCCTCCTCAGCCCGAGTGGCTGACAGGTGGCACAGGGCCAGAACAGACCCCAGGCCCGGCCTGCTTCCCCACTTCAGAGGCCAGGCTCTGCTGGCCGAGCAACCGTGGGGCTCAGGGCCAGCGCTGAGTGGCCCCGCAGAGTCAGGGAGCAGGCACTGGGCGGGAGGGGTTTCGACCTTCATCTCCCACCCTGTCCGACCAGGAAAAGGCCCCCCGGCCCTGCAGACCAGAGCCCCAGCGGCTGATATCAGGCGTCCTCTACCCCCTCCCCTGCGAGCTGGGGCTGTTAGTCATGTTAGTGGCAGGAAAGCAGGGTGAGTGCCCCACGCAGGCACCTGCCTCTCCCTGCCCCCGCCACACAGACCCCAGGGCTCGCCGAGCCCCTCCAGGCATCTCCCACTCCCACTGCTAGGACAGAGAGCAGGGAGGAGGGCGGGAGCAGGCACCCCCGCATCCGATCATGAGGACCCGGCAGCACCGTGAACACTCAAGGCTGGCGTGGCAACCGCACCCAGTGCGTGCCTGGCCAGGGCCTTGGTTCCCAACCTTATGAGCTGCCACTTACGCGGAGCGCCAGGCACAGAGCTGGTTAGTGAGGAGGAGCTGGTGCGCGTGACGGCGCTGGAGCAGGGGCTCGTACCGTAGCGGGGCAGGGCTCCCGTCAACGCTGCCGTGTGGGACAGCCAGGCGGCTGGGTCGATGGGCCGAACTGGATCCGCTGGGCAGCCATAGCATGGCAATAGACGGACAGATGGACGGTGTGGGGGGAAGTGGAACACAGGACAGAGAAGAGGCCCTTCAGGCTGGGCTAGGTGCCCCACCCCCACCCCGCCGGCCCCAGGGGGTCACTCACCCCTCGGGATGGTGAAGTAGCTGCGGGGCGTTGGGTCCCAGCACTTGGCCACCGTAAGGCTGATGGGCCTGCGGGGTGGGCGGGTCACACGGTGACCCAGGCAGCCCCCTCCCCTCCACTGTCCCACCCCTACACGCCTCACCCCCACACGCCTCACCCCGTCTGGGACACGATCTCCCGCAGGACCCGCACAGCATCATCGTTGCTCATGTTCTCGAAGTTGACGTCATTCACCTGGGGGCAAGAGGTCAGCATGGTGGGTGGGGGTGCTGCTCTTCCCACCCCCCCAGAAGCTCTCCTGGCCCGCACCTGCAGCAGCATGTCTCCTGGCTCGATGCGGCCATCAGCAGCAACAGCCCCACCCTTCATGATGGAGCCGATGTAGATGCCACCGTCGCCCCGGTCATTGCTCTGGCCCACAATGCTGATGCCCAGGAAGTGATGCCTCTCTGCGGGGCAGGGGGGTGGTGAGCAGGTGTGCCCCCACCACCACTGTGCCCTGCCCAGCACCCCACAAAGGCCTCACCCATGTTGAGTGTGACGGTGATGATGTTGAGGGACATGGTGGAGTCCGTGATGCTGCTGAAAGAGGAGGCCTGCAGGGGGCGCCAGGTGAGGGGCTGTGAGTGGGACCCATCTGCCCACCCCAACCTACACCTGTCCAGTCCACAGCTGCTCAGTCCACACCTGACTGGTTCACACCTGCCAGCCCACACCTGCAAGATTCACACCTGCCTGGCCCTAACCTGACTGATCTGGAACTACCTGGTTCACACCTGCCCAGTTCACACCTGCCTGGCACACACCTGCAATATTCACACCTGCCTGGCCCACACTTGCCTGGTTCACACCTGCCCGGCCCACACCTGCCCAGTCTGCACCTACCCGGTCTGTCTGCCGCAGGCGCTGTTTCCGCCGCCGGCGCTTGTGTTTCCGGATGAGCCTGGAGGAGGTGCTCTGCTCCGTGGAGCTGCTCAGCCTGGGGGAGCCCAGAGTCAGGGTCTGGCCACCCCCCATATAGTTGAACTCAAAGGGGCAGAGGCAAGGCTGAACCTGAGGAAACCATCCCCACCCTGAAGACAGTGAGCAGCCAGCAAGGTCTCCTGCCCAGGTGCACACGCCCATGCATACATATATGTGTGGTCCAGGGCACACATCCTGCCCCACCTTGCACCCTCACCCTCACCCACCGGCTTGTGTTGTCATCTTCATCCGAGTCGATGAAGCTGCTGGACTCAAGTTCACTGCTCAGCACGGTGGACGCACTGTCAGGGGGCAGCCCCAATTCCCGCCGCCGGTCCCCCCTTGGGTGCCCATTGGTCCGGGCTGCTGTGGGGACAGCAGGGATGGGGGCTGGCCATGGGATCCCCTGGAAGTCATGGGCAGCCCCTGCAACCTCAAGCACTCTTTCACCTGGGAGCTGGCAGGGTGACTGCAGGGCTGCTGAGGGGTCACTAGGGTCCAGGGTATTTGGGTCTGGAACCTCTGCCAAGGGACCCCCACTGGAAGGGGGGCCAGGAGGGGCTTGGGGTGCCCACGGGGGCCCCAGGGAGGTCAAGGGCATGGCCTCATTACCCTCTTCACGGTTCCGGCGTCGGGCTCGCTCCCGCCGGTGGCTGACCAATGACTCCGTGCCAGTCTCGTTGTCCATCCCATCGCGGCTGCCGGCCACATTTGGGCTGTGCCGAGGAGGGCTGGGCTGGGGCGGCCAGGCCACTCATGCCTCAAACACCCTCTCAGCTCCTCTCCTCCCAATGTCCAGTGGGACCTCGACTCCAGCAGAGCCCCCATCTACCCACCGGCCCACTCTGGGCCTCTCCACTTGCCCCTCCTCTGCTGACCAGCACCAACTGACCGTGGGTCCCTGCTCAGTTGCCCCTCCCCATTTCCAACAGGCTGGCAGGACGCAAGCCCTTCAGCTCCACTGGGCTCAGCACAGCCCCCAGAATCCTTACTGGAAGGAGGGAGGCCGGGAGTCCCCGATGCCGCCTGTCCGCTCAAGAGGCGGGGGCAGGTCTGTGTGCCCATCAGTGCCCTGAGACCCTGCATCCGAGTGCGCACCCTCAGCCAGGACCAGCTGTGGACAAGAGCAGGGCTCAGGAACCAGTGTCCAGGCGACCCCGGCAGGGCACCGGGCATGGGCAGTACCTTCTTCCACTTCCACCAGCCCAGGGCCCTCCGCCAGCATCCCATGGACTCACCCAGGAGACCACACGGCCGTTGAAGCAGGGTAGCTTGGCATTATCGTCAGAGATCTCCTCCTTTACAACCCTGCAGGCAGACACAGCTGTGAGGCAGCCACACACTGGGGCCTGCTCCCACCGCTGGGCATCTGGACTAAGGCCCCCAGCTTGTCCGGGGTGTGGGTCACATGGGGCATCCGGCCACACACCCAGATGCCGGTCTGTGCGGATGCCCTTGCCCAGCACTTCCACTACTGGGGACTGTCACCATCCTTCCAAGGACCCCACCCAGGGCCCATGGGGCCCAGACACAAATGCAAGTATCCTCCTTCCTCTGTGTGACTCCCCCAGACTTCATATCGCGAGGGCAGGGCCCAGTTCACAGCAGGCTTCAGCACAAGTCGGGTGTGGGCAGACCCCCCGGGAGGTGCACAGCACACAGACCCGCAAGCTCACACTCCAGGAGCAGGCCACCACCCTCCTGACCTGTTGGCCCAGCCAAGGAGACAGAAACAGACCCCCACTCACAACACTGGCCCAACTTGACGGGTGGCCAAGTGCAGGGCCAGCAGGGCCCACGGAGAAGCCTCAGGCCCTGAAGGTCAGCAAGTGTCACCAGCTCTACCACTGCCCAATGGCTAGCCTGGCCTGTCCCTTCATGCTGCCCCCAGCAGGTGGGCCTGGAAGGACAGGAGAGGCAGATGGCCAAGGCCCAGGGCAACTCTAACTGGGAAGGAAGCCAATGACCCTGGGGTCAGAAACAGGTTGGGGAGGTCCAGGAGTCAGGTTCAAAGGGGTGAGAAGGGCAGCAGGGAAGGGCCATGAAGCAGGGCAGACAGTGCTGTGGCCCAGACACATCCCACACTGTGGCCTCCCGGAGGCCCAGGGAGCAGGGTGGGCAGGGCAGGGCCGGCAGCAGGCCCCTGGGGCACAGCCCTGCCCAGCACCGCAGATTTCCACACCTGGGATGAGGGCCCAGTGTAGAAACAGGAGTCGCAGACCAGGCAGGAAGTAGCCTCGTGGCCTATGGGCCCAGACACCTCAACTCAGCGTGTCCAAGGCAGCAGCAGGGGGCAGGAGGTCCCCGAGAGCAAGGCTCCAGTCCACCCCACCCACCAGGAGAGCCCCAAGACCTCAGGGCAGAGTGCACAGAGGAGACAGGGCAGCCTGGAGGGGGCACTCTGCCAGGGTCCTATAGTGACTCCATCAGATGCCTCCCAGGCCAGCCACACAGGCACAGATGAGGTGGACAGAACAATGGACACGAGTCATTTCTCAGGACCCCCTCTCCCCAGTGAGGAACAGACAAAGTGTCCGCAGCCCCCATCACGCACCACAGAGCTGAGCTCTGGGGTGGCCGAGATCCAGCCCAAGAGTCAGTCCAGGAGACCACACAGAAGGAGTCACCACAGGAAGACCTGCAGTGGCCTGGGGACACCTGGGGTTCTGCCAGCTGCAGCTAGGAGATGGGGGGTTGCAGCAAGTCCTCCAGGGGGCCCAGCAGGCCCCGAGCACCACCTCTGAGTGACTGCAGCAAGAGACCCAAGGGGGAACCTGGTTCTCACTTCACAGTCCAGGTGGCCTGGCCAGCAGCCTCCCCTCCCTCCCTGCACTCATGCCCCCGCCCTTTTGACTCATAGCACAAGGTCCATGGGGCTTCCCAGAGGTGGACACCTCAGGCGGCACCCTGAACCCCCACTGCCTGCACGGCCAGTGCCTCCAGAAAATCGGTCACCCAGAGCTGCCTGAGGCCCCCATGCAGCCCACCCACACATGAATGCCCCCCCCAGGGCCCAGAGGCCCTGCTTCCCCAGTCCTCCCCAGCCTGAGAGACATATACCTTCTGGCCGGAACTAAAGGGCACCCAGCCTTCCCCCTGGGGGTCGGGGCATCGAGGAGCAGCTAGTCAGGATGGCCAGGAGGGAGGGGGAGGGGAAAGGCCTCGCCCTCCCCAGGGGCAAGCCCAGCATCAGGGGCACGGTGCTGCCCATCCCTAGTGATGGCCAGGAACAGGGACGAGGTTGGGGGTGGAGTTGGGGGAGGCCTCAACCAAGCCTGGGGAAATGCCCCCCAATCCAGAGCGCCTTCCCTGAGCCTGAGAGTAGACCTCAGGAGCTGTGGTCAGCAAAGACATGAACCCTCAGGGTGGCCACCCAGGGGAACCTCTGTTGGCATATTGCCCCCAGCTCTGGGATTCCTGGTGAGACCCCTGATAACCTGGAACTTGGGCTGTCCAGCCCCACCCGCCACCCCCGCAGACGCACCCCAGCGAGGAATCTGCTCAGAGCAGGGCCCGTACAGAGCAGGGCTCCCTGCTCAGAGCGAGGAGCCCAGGAACCCTTGAGCTCCCAGAGACCCAGTGGGATGCCCCACCTATGTCCTCAGAGACACAGGGTTGCCCCAGGAATCAGGGTCCTCAGTTCCCACAGAGCCTTCATCTGTCCCCCAACTGCCTCCTGACCAGGCTTGGGCTCTGCAGGCTCCAGGGTGAAGGGTCTAGACCCTAGACCCTCCATGCCTGACTGCAAGCTCCAGGGGGTGAGGCATCTAGAACCTCCCAACACCAGGGGCACTGACTGCAGATGGCAGAGCTGCAGAGGGCAGAGTGGGAGCTCAGGCCACCTGGACCAGGCCAAGCGCAGCCCCCACCACAGCCCCCAGGGCCCAGACAGATGGCCCTACAGACCAGAGCTCCTGGCCCAGAGATGCAGGGCCCAGGGCCACTGCCAAGTCCAGGGAGGCCTGGAGTCCACAAGGCAGCGGAAGCCTGTGAGCACGGCTGCACACCAAGCCCAAAGCTGAGCACCTCTGGGCCAGCCCAGCACAGGCTCTGAGAGCCTCCCCAGCTTCACTGGAACACACAGCTATGACCTGCATAGGAAGAGTGGGAGGGAGGCACAGGACTCTCTACCCATTTGCCAAAGATGCTCTACCCACTTGCCAAAGATGCTCATGGAGAGCGAGGCCTGGCCAAAGCAAGTGGCTATGACCACACCTTAGACTTAGGAAGGTTTCCCTTCCTGGCCAGAGAGGCCAAGAACTGAGACGTCAGGAACGGAGGCCTCAGCAGGGTCAGGGACCTCACAGTCCCCAATCTGAGACCACCCCTCTCATAAGGGGGCCACTTCCCCAGCCCAGCCAGGACCTGCCCCCTCTTTCTCCAACCTCCAGCTATATCCATTAGGGAGCCAAGGTGAGACTAACTCTCATTTATACTAAAGTGTGAGTGACTAATCAGACACCCCCAGAGGAAATTTATTCCACTGAGTAAATGATTCTACAGAATAAACAGAACCTGGAATTCTGTAGGTAGATCTCAAGAGAGGGAAGGAAGGAGGCAGATCCCCTCCAAGGGTCCCTGAGGCCAACAGGCCACCAATCACAGGTCTGGGGGTGGGGGTGGGGAATAAGATGAGCCTCCCCTGCTCTGTCCGCCCATGCCCACTGCACCTTCCAGAGTCACCCCAATCCCTCCCTCTGTCCCAGCCCAGCCTACCATCCTGGTCTTGTTCCCTCCCCCACATCTCAGTCATGCTCAGACAACCTGAAGAACTCCTACTCTTGCTTCAAGACCCAGATCTTGCCTGCCCACCATGACCTCCTGGGCCAGGGCACCCATGGGTCCTGAAAATCCTCTAGCAGGCACAGCCTCTGCTGGGAGTGTACCTCGAGTGGGGCAGGGGTCTTTGCAGCTCAGTGGCTATTAGACACACGAGGAAGGTCAGGCCCCTCAGGCTGCACCCCAGATCATGGTCCGAGGGCAGCAACCTGGGGGGCTGGGCACACAGTGTGCCACACACTCCTCTCAGTGTGTGAAAGAGCACGTGTGATTTCAGTAGTTTTTGTTAAAATGATAAACTAAGTTAAAAAACAAAAGCACCCTTTCACATACCTGATGCTCACAGCCAAAGCAGAGCAGGCTCAGAAAAGTGAGACTGTAGGCGACCAACCAGCTGAGGCGGGGTTTTGGGGGGGGGGCAGCCAGTGTCGAGGACCAGGCTCCCCAGTCTATGCCCTACCCTGTGAAGCCTGGCCTAGGGGCAGCTCCTAACCTGAGCCCAGCAGGGCTGGGGGCTGCCAAGGACCCATTCCCCGTTCTCTGCCTCTCTCTGGTGTTGAGGGCATAAGACAGTCTAGTTGCCCCCATGTCCCTCAGGCCTCCCTGGGAGCCACAAAGTGGCCTCAGCCTGACCAGACCTGGGATTGCCCAGGGTCAGTGCAAACCACAGAATCCAGGAAATGGCCTCAATGTCAAAGTCCCAAGACGCAGCCACAGACAAGGACACGGGCTGCCTAAGGGAGCCCAAGCACACCTGCTCGGCCCAGGCGGCCTCTGGGTGCCCCCCCCCCCAGCACTGCCAAGCGGGGGACTCAGGTTACCCATGGTTGTGCTGGGTCAGGGCTCGAGAGTCCAGCCAGCCTCCAGTTCACCGCTCACCGTTTCAGAGGCCCAGCCCGGCACAAGCAGGAAGTCCCCTCAGCCGGGACAGCCACCACTAAGGGCAGACATGAGAACTCTGACCCAGAGGCTGCCCGAGTCAGCAGCTGGCCTGCACTGCTCTCAGGAACTCAAGTGGCATGTGGTTCAGCAGGGACACAGGCCCTGTGGCCAGCAACCCCAAAGCTGGGGTGGGTGGAATAAAGCCCCATGTTGCCCAGTGACCCTTGGCCCCTGCCCTGTCCTGAGGACCCTGGAGAAGGGGGCCAGGAGAATGCTGTTTTAAGCTTCCAGAAACTCCTGCAGACCCCTGCAGATAGATGTGTGCCCTTGCCCAGATCACCTCATTTCCCCCGTGCTAACTAGGAGACCCACTGGGTGGCTGGCACCCTATCCCCACCCTAACCCCTTCCCCCCAACGCTTGGAAACTCCTCTGACCCCAAGCCTCATGAATCCCACCCACCCTCCACATAAAGGGGGCAGCGGACTCTAAGTCTGACAGGTGCCAAGATGGGATTTCGGAGGTCCACTTCGACCACAGACCTCCACCGCAAGTCACACACTAAGAACAGGGCCCAGGGTGAATGGAGAAGCCAAGACCGCTCTCCGCCCACCGTCCAGTGCTCTCAGACCCCGGGGCAGGCAGTCAGGGGCCCAGGCGTCTTATGCTCAGAGCACAGACAGGTGGGACACACGCACCAGGGCGCGCAGACACCGCCCAGGTCACAACCCCAGGATCACCTGCCCTGCCTGGCCGGACAGGTGCCTACCGCGCGCACCCGCGCACAGGCCCTACGGCCCACTGACCCGAAGTCCTGGTCCATGGACTTGAAGAAGAATTTGTAGGCGTGCACGGGCCGGTTGCTGAGCACGTTCTTGAAGTCGGCCAGCGTGACGCGCTCGGGCGCCACTGGCAGCTTGACCAGGTACGGCGTCTCCTCCTCGTCCATGTGATAGATGATCTTGGTCTCCGCCATGGCGCGGCGCTCAGGCCCGGCCCGGGCCTCGGACGCGGGCGCCTCCCCGCTGCCGGCCCGCGCCCCGCCCGCGCGCCGCTCCCGGCCCGGCCGCGACCAGGCCCCCGCGTCCCCGCCCGGCCGCTCCGGCCCCGCCCGCCCTGCCGGCCTCAGCCCCGGCCCTGGCCCCTGTTCCGACCCCGCGCGCACCCCGGCTGCTGTCCTGACGCCCGCGGCCGCCCATGCGCCCCCGGCCCGGGACGCAGGCAGGGAGGGCGCGAGGCCCGCCGCGTCCGTGCGCCCCGCCGCCGCCCCCTCGGGCCGCGCGTTAAAGGGACCGCGGATCCAGCTACGAGCGGCCGCTGGGGGCGCCCGAGAGCGGCGGGTCTGACGTCACCGGGCGGCCCGCGGCGTGGGGGCGGGGCTGCGCACGCGCGGGTGGGGAGGGCGGGGCGCGCTAGGGGGCGGGGCCTCCTGCCGTGCCCAGGCCCGGAGCCCAGGGCGCGCACGCCCGGCCTTCGCCTCGCTCATCGGTGGGCAGTACGCAGGGTCAGGCTCCAGGCCTGTGGGCGGCGGGGAGAAGGCGGGTGGGGGCCCTCAGGAAGCTCCGAGCCCGGCCTGGAGCCCTGAGGGTTTCTGCGCGGCCGGGCTCCGGTCTTCCACCTCTTCAGAGTCCGGCGGCGCCTTGGTCACAGGGACGGGCTGCGGCGGCTACGCGGGAAGCTGAGAATTCTTGTGTTCGGACCGGAACCGATGACACTCGGTCACTTTGCCCCCCCCCACCCCCACCACGCGTCAGCTCCGAGTTGGTGCGCCCTCTGCCAGGTCGCACAGGGGCTCCAAGACACACGGGCCAAGCGTATGCGGGTCCCCGTGTCGACGCGACAAGTAGGGTCAGCGCGAGCAGCTATGCGCAAGCAGGGGCACGGCCCTCCGGCAGCAGGTGTAGAATTTTTTTTTTTCCCCAGCCGCTGTCCATCAATCCTGCGTGGGGTCCTCCGTGGGGCAAAGGATACGAGGAGCAGCGCCCCCCTGGCTGTGAAGGGTCCAGCCACTGGGGAGAGCAGTTCTCCCTCTCCGACCAGGAGGAAAACTTGAGGCCACTAGAAGGAGGCCCACGCTGGCGAGAGTGAGATGGGAGAGGACCTAGGGTGGAGCCTGAGAGTGATGCGGATGCTGCCCTCCTTGAAGTTGGCTTGGAGCCTGGACTCTCCCATCTGCCAGGTCTCTCCCATCTGACCATCCTCACTCAGTGGACCAGCACAAGAAAAGGCCACATTAGTCCATCAATGACTGGAGGTGCCAGTTTTTCCATAAGTCCCTGAGTCCAGGCCAGGGACCACCCTCAGGTGAGCCTCGGCAGGGGGGTGTTGACATCCGTTTTCCTGGGCTCTGAGGGCTCTGTGAGGTTGGCCCACTCAACAAAGCCTGGGCCTTCTTCCCTTGGGTCTCAGCTTCCGCAGAGGTGACCTGAGGAAGCCAGGAAGGATGGCCTTGAAGGAGGGGGTCACCATGGCTCTCTGCTGGGTGTTCAGGGAGGAAGACAGTCCCTACCCTGAGAGCTCACCAGGGACCAGATCCTCCAGGCCAGATACAAATGGCTGCTGGTCACACCGATGCAGGGGCTCTGGGGCCCCAGCTTGAACCTCTCTCTCCTACCTGATCACCTAACTCTCAGCCCAAGTCACAGGACAGAGGCTGGTAGCCAGAGGCCAGTCCCAGGACCGATGCTCATGTGGTCGAGCTGGGGCTCTGCAACGGACCTGAGTTTATGGCCAGAGCCTAAGCTCTGACAGAAAGGGCCTTGTCCAGTGGCAGTGTGGCCACTGTGAGTCGGGGGTCACTAGGCTGACAACTCCCTGCCCCAGCTTCCCTCCCTGCCTTTGCCACTGGGGGTGGGGAGATAGTTCTTGAGGGTTGTGAAGAGAAAACAGCTATTTTGAATTGTTGCCCAGGCATTTTACTGCATGACAGCCCTGCTCGTGTACAGAATCTGGACAGTTAGGTGAGGACCCAAGCTCAGGATCCTCACCACAAGTTCTTGCCTTGCTTTTCCCCCAGTACCTTTTACAGTGACCAGATTCAAGCCCCTGATAGTCAGTGACCACTGCCCCAAGCGCCTTGTAAGTTCTAGGTGCTTGCTATCCTGGGCTATCCATCTCCAGCTTGCTGGTGACCTGATGGAGAGCTGCCCTTCCCCTGGCTCACAGAGCATGTCCATCCCCCAACCAGGAACTGTAAGGGACAGATTTTGTGTGTCTCCTTTGTGTGACATCTTGAAACTGTGGCTTCATCAAAACAACCCCAGGGTTTCACCTTCGGCAAGTGAGAGTTCCAATGCTGGGAGAGCCACACACGGAGTCCATGTGGGTGGTTGTGCTTCCTCGCTCAGTGGGTCATGATTGGTGTGTTCTCAGTCCATCACTCTGGGTTTTCCAACTTAGGCTGACAGTTGCCCCTCCTGCCCCCAAGGGCCTTGGAAGACAGGGTCAGGGTTGGAGAAAGAGGCTTCTTTCTACCTCATACTCCTGTTCCTGTCCCACTCTGAGGGCTCTCCCACTCACTGCTTCCTCCTTTTTCCTCATGCACTGAAGCCCATCCTGGCACCTGCTTCTCTTTTCAGAGGACTGAACTAGTACAGCCCTCTGTCCTCTTATCCCCCAACATGCTCCCCTCCCCCATGTCCAATAAACCCTCTGAAGAGGACCTGAGACCCCTCCCCAGGACACCCAGACCTTCCACCCAAAGGAAGGGGTGATGACAGTGCAACTTCAGATGAAAGAAAGCACTTTGAGGTCCCCAAGGCACAGACTCTGCCCCCGGGGAGACGGAGGGGAGCAGCACAGGCATCCTTGGGCCCAGGTCTAAAATCGATGTGGTCTTTATTGAGACTATAGCAATTCCCCAGGATGAGCAAGTGTGGGGTGTTGGGAGTGGCAGCACTGGCCACTCTAAGACCATCTTGACACCATCCTCCGGTCCTCGGCCAAAACAGAGTCAATGAGGCCTCGTCCCTGGACTCCAGCCCAGGGAAGGGCTGAGAGAAGGGGGTCAAGGTCAGAAGTCACGTGGAGCCCAGTGACTGTCAAGGCAGCTTGTTGGAAACGGGGCTGGAGCAGGGTAAGCAGAGAGGTGGCCCCAGGTGGCCAGACACAGTGCAAAGAGACACTAGCCCCAGGCCTGGAATGCATAGGCTTTGGGTTGCCATGCAGAGCCCGCCACAGTCTGGCGGGGTAACGTGGGGTGCAGTCGAGGGGAGCCAGCAGGCAGCTCTCCTGAGGAAGGTAGGACTGCCAGCCCTGAGGCTGACCCAGACCCCAAGAATCCCCACTGAGCCTGTCCTGCCCGCACCCCTGCAGAGGTGGGGCTCCCAGCCCCTGGTGTGCAGAGGCCAGGAGAGCCTGAGGGACTGGTGAACATCAGCAGGGTCTTGGCCACGTGAGGGGAGAAGGGCACCTGGTGAGGGCTGCTGAAGGGGCGGGCTGCAGCACTGGCAGATTCCAGGGAGCCCACAAGCGTGTTGGAAGACTCTGTGGTCCTGAGGGCCTGGAGGCAGCCTCACTCTGCACCAGTCCAGGCCAAGTTCCTGGACAGCGGGACCAGCCGCTGGAAGGGGGGCCAGGTGAGCTGCGTGGGGGTCAGGAAGAGTCCTCCAAGGCAGACAGACAAGAGTTGGCAGAGCTGCTGGCCCAGCCAGGAGCCTGGAGTCGCCTTATTTGCAGTACTCCTTCCTGAACTCTGGAAGCCAAAGGGACAGGTGTGTCTGCCCTCTGCCCTGGTGAAATGGGCCGACTTCCATCGGGACCATCCAGGGACTTCTGGAACCCCGAGGGGGCAGGGGACTGCTGCTCGCAAGGCTGGTGGGTGTCTTGGGGCTCTGAGTGGATGGAAAGGGGGTACAGCCCAGCTCTGAGATGGGCAGGGGTCTCCTCCCTCCCCTCCACTAACCTTTGTCCAAGTCGATGTTCTTGGCAGGTGGGAGGCTGTGGGCCAGGTCAGCCCTCTCCTTCAGGATGTTGTTTTTGTAATCTGGAGCAGGAAGAGAGCAGGGTGAGGGCCCCCCAAAGATGTGCCTCCCTCATCCCAGGCCTGGGAACCACAGTCTTGCCCCTTGGGTCTCCTCACCTAGTCGAATGTCCTCACTCCTGTAAAGAGCCGGGTCCCCGGAGGCCACAGCAAACTCTGCCATGTTCATGTCTTTCCTGGAGGCAGGAGGGTGATGGGAGGTCAGAGGATGGGTGAGTCTGCTGGGTCCCCTGGGAAGCCAGAAGGGACACTCACCCCTTTGACTTGGACTTCTTGTCGGAGTATTCGTAGCCTGGGGAGGGAGACTTGTGTTGGGGACAGCCTTGCCCACTCCCCAGCTCCTCCAGCCTAGAGGATCCCTCTGCTTTGGTCACTGTGCCGTAAGTGCCGCCTCCGGCTGGGAAAGGCTTCCTGGCACTGACCCCAGCCAGGCAATCGACTCACCTCCACGGCGGCGCTGCCGGGTGGCCAGAACGACCGTGATGAGCAGCAGGATGAAGAGCAGCAGGGTGGCCAGCACGTAACCCAGCTGCTGGAAGAAGTGGGCCCGGCCCTCGGGGACGATGACGTTGATGACGCTGCGGCCTCGCGTCAGCGTGGGATCTGCGGGGACCGTGCGCGGGACGACGTCAGGAAGCGCAACGTGCGCCCCGACCCAGCCGACCTCAGCCCGCTGGGGCCTCCCCCCAACACTGGAATCCCTGATTTGGGACGGGAGGGGGCGAGGTGGGTTGCTGCCCTGCAGACATACCTCCTGCACCTGGGCCGGGCGCGCCGCTGTGGCTGGAGCCATTGCCCGGGGAGTCCCGCGGGGGCGGGGGCGGCCGGGCGGCTGGCTCGGTGACTCTCAGGTGGAAGACGCGGCGCTCATGCAGGCCGCAGTAGTGGTGGTGCAGGTGGCAGGAGTAAGTGCCCTCGTCTGCCGGCTCCAGCGGGTCGATGAGCAGCGAGAAGTCGCCGCGCGCGAACGCGTCCGCCTCCACCGCCACGCGATCGCGCAGGAAGGACGGCCCGTAGGCGCGGCGCTCGCCGGACGCGTAAAGGTCGAGCAAGCGGTCCGCACGGTCGTGCGGCACCCCAGGCAGCTGGCGGTCCCAGTGCACAACCTGCTGCGCTTCCTCCACGTGTTTGTCGGTCCACACGTGCGCGCGGTTCACACACGTCAGCAGCGCAGGCGCGCCACGCTCCACAGCCAGCACCTCTTTCTCGCCGTCCCAGTGCGCGCCGGCGGCCCGGGCTGGAAGAGCATGGCAGTCAGGGATCCCGAGCCGGGACGGGGCGTCCAGGGTGGGAGGGGTGGAAGTGCACGGGCGGGGTGTTGGGGGGGCACACTCACGGTCGTCGGTAACCTCGAGGCGCACGGCCAGGCTCTCGTAGAAGTGGCAGTAATGGTGGTGAAGATTACAAGTGTACAGCCCCTCGTCAGTCTCCTCCACCGCTACGCACCGGGGGATGGAGGGGGGGGACCCAGCCATAAGCCCCGCGGCCCCGCCAGCGCCCCGGGGCCCCCGCCCCCCGCCGCGGTACCCCGGCCAGTACCCCGGATGAACAGCGAGAAGTTGCCATCTTGGAAGGCGGAGGGAGGCAGCAGGAGGCGGCCGCGGTCGCGCGGCTCGTACACGCGCTGCTTGCCCGCAGAGTACATATCCACCAGTCGGCGCGCGCGGCCGCCAGCCTGGCCGCCGCTGAGGTCCCAGTGGACGACGCGCTGGCGGTCGTGCAGCCGGTCTTGGGTCCACACCATGCGCGGGCTCTGGCAGCGCAGCACCGCCCGGGCGCCTGCTGCCCAGCTTACTGCGGACTCGGACACCACGGAGCTGTCGGAGGTCGCGGGCCCAGATGGCCCTGGTGGGGAGGAGGAGTCACCGGGGAGGGATGAGGCTCCAGAGGAGTGTACAGGATGGGGCTAGCAAGAAGGCACGGAGGCTGACAGGTTCTTAGGGGAGGGATGAGGCTCCAGAGTGTACAGGATGGGGCTAGCAAGAAGGCACGGAGGCTGACAGGTTCTTAGGGGAGGGGTGAGGCTCCAGAGTGTACAGGATGGGGCTAGCAAGAAGGCACGGAGGCTGACAGGTTCTTAGGGGAGGGATGAGGCTCCAGAGGAGTGTACAGGATGGGGCTAGCAAGAAGGCACGGAGGCTGACAGGTTCTTAGGGGAGGGGTGAGGCTCCAGAGTGTACAGGATGGGGCTAGCAAGAAGGCACGGAGGCTGACAGGTTCTTAGGGGAGGGGTGAGGCTCCAGAGTGTACAGGATGGGGCTAGCAAGAAGGCACGGAGGCTGACAGGTTCTTAGGGGAGGGATGAGGCTCCAGAGTGTACAGGATGGGGCTAGCAAGAAGGCACGGAGGCTGACAGGTTCTTAGGGGAGGGGTGAGGCTCCAGAGTGTACAGGATGGGGCTAGCAAGAAGGCACGGAGGCTGACAGGTTCTTAGGGGAGGGGTGAGGCTCCAGAGTGTACAGGATGGGGCTAGCAAGAAGGCACGGAGGCTGACAGGTTCTTAGGGGAGGGATGAGGCTCCAGAGGAGTGTACAGGATGGGGCTAGCAAGAAGGCACGGAGGCTGACAGGTTCTTAGGGGAGGGATGAGGCTCCAGAGGAGTGTACAGGATGGGGCTAGCAAGAAGGCACGGAGGCTGACAGGTTCTTAGGGGAGGGTGGTCACTAACCTGAGGACAGAAGGACGGCAGAACCTAAAATGAGAGGAAGTGAGGGTCAAACTGGGGAGGGGGTGACCTGAGCCTTTATATGTGGGTCACTCGCCGAAATTGGCCCCCCACTTGGCCCCTGGGTCCCTTCTATAGTCCTAGTTGAGGTGGGTGCTAAGGACACCTTGTTAACAGGTAAGGGTAGGTCCAGAGAAGCCAAGAGGGCACAGTGGGGGGGGGGTCTCCTATGCCCCTACCTCTCTCAGGCCCCCACTTAATCCTTGTGGCCACCTGCCCGGGCTGCAGGGACAGCACCTGCCTTTCTTGGGGTGACTGGTGGGGCCAGCCCACCTCTGGATGTGTGCTTGTCACCAAGGGCCACCTTCAGGAATGATGGCTACCCTAACCATCACTGCAGCAAAGCCACAAGAGCACCAGTGCCTGACACCTCGGCTGGTTTGGGGGCTCCTGCACATACATATGCAGTGTGGCACCTGCCCAGAGCCACGCTGCACAAACCCTCCAGGGTCCTCAGGCTGCTGGCACCCCACCGGGAGCCCCTCGGCCTTCAGAAAGGACAAGAAGGCTGGATGTGGGGAGTGACCCCACTATCTGCCACCCCACACGCCAAATTCCTGCTCCAGGGATGTGGCCTGGCGCCCGGGCTGGACGGAGAAATGTGCCGGGTCAGCAGGCCACCCCTGGGGAGCAGGTTTGGGGGGCCCAGGAACAGACCCTGTGAACCCCATGCTTCCCAGGTCCCCCTCAATCCTTCATCCATCCCCTCCTGACAACAGAGAAACACAGGCTGGAGGGGCGTCCCAGAGAAGTAGGGGGTGCAAGGGACCCCAGGAGGAAGCCCCATGCTCGGCCTCCCTGCCCTGTTCAGCTCTGTCTCTAGGGTCCAGTGAGGGGAAGTTGGTAGGGATCTAACATCAGACCTCAGCCCCTCCGTGTCCTGGGGGCCTTCTCCTGGTGAGCAGCACCTCTGAGGCCCCCAGACCCATCCACTTCCTGGTGGGGTGTCCCCTCACCCCAGAGTTCAGACAGGCTTAGCCCCAAACACAGACTGGCTCAGACTAGGTGTGACTCCGGCCACCCCACCCCCCCATGAACTCACTCTGCAGAAGCACAAGTCTCCAGAGCAGGACCCAGGCCCGCAGCTCCATGGCGCCCGCCTGGCCCGCCGGCGCTTTGTCTCACTTGGTCTCAAACTCTGCAGAAAAACAGCCCGGCCCCCTCCTCCTCCCGCTCCTCAGCACCCGCCATGACATCACGGAGCCCTGGGCTGGCCGACAGTCTGCAGACCGCCCCCTCTGCTTCTGCCCGGCCCCTTGGCCTCCCCCAGTACTTGGCTGGCCTCGTGGGAGGGGTTGGGGCCTTGGCCACTGTGTCCCAGAGGGTGAGGGGAATCACTCTGGCTTGGGTCCTGGAGAAGGGGGCACCAGCCCAGCCCTGGAGGGGCGGGGACCTGAGGGCATGGCCTCAGATACCTTGTGGGTGTTTGTGACAGACAGATCCCCACTGGGGCCACTGCAGGTCTAGGGTTCTGGGGGGAGCATCTCCTCACCTGCACTCTATAGGGGGACCCCAACCAAGACATTCCCCCCCAACCCCCTGCAGGCCAGCAGAAAGGCCCAGGCTCCCTGGCCACCAGCTCTTCCTACTGGCTGTGTGGTGACCCTTGGGGCTCCATTTTTTCAGTTGTGAGGCGGGGACAAGAATAGTGCAGACCCTGGGGGTGCAGGGGCTCCCTCCTGGCAGCATGATGGGCACCACTGTCTGTCAGTCAGCTTCAGCACCCAGAAAGCTGCCAGGGAGATGAGCGGCAGGGACCAGGGTCCCCTGTCCGGGTGCCCCCACCCTATCTGCCCGCCACCCAGACCCAGGTCCACTGCTCCCGGGAGCATTGCCCTCTCCTCCTGGAGGAGAGGGAAGGAAGGGGGGTATGGAAGCCTTCCCAACAGAAGGCACAAATTTGAAGCTCTGGGAAAACTTACAAAGTCACGTAAACAAATGTGAAATAACAGAGCACGCACTGTGTACCAAACCCACTCTTTCTAGTTAAGCAAACCTCAAGAAAAAGAAAGGAAAAATCCACTGAACAACCGCAAAACCCATGGTGCATTTTTGGACTGCCCATTTGGACTGAATTATGGTCACAGGTCCCAGGCCCTGGTGGGCTGGAGTCTCACTCTTGAACCCTGCCCTGGTCCCCAAGTTCTCAGACAAGCAAGGAGCCCAGCTCAGCCAGACTCCTGGGCTCCAGGCAAGGGGAGGAGGCTGCTGATGTGGCAGCAAGAAGGAATGAGGGGTGACAGCAGGTAGGACCGGCTGGGAGGAAACAGGACTGTGAGGACGCCCCACCCCCAATCTAACGGACCATTTCCTCAGCAGGATCCAGGCTCTGGTAGGCGGAGCCCTCTTTCCAAACTGGAATCAGGACTTGTCTCCACACCCCACCCCCAGCTCCTCCTGGGCCTTTCATTCTGGAAAAACAAGCCCTGCCTGGCTGGCCTTGAGGCCTGGCCGCTCCTCCTGTTTTTCTAACTGGTTTATATTAGTGCCGGTGGCCTCCCTCCCAGTCCAACTCCCTCCTCTGCGCTCCCCCCACCCACCCACCCTGCCATGTGTCTGTCTCTCTCCATGTGCCTCCGCCGCTCTGTCCTCCATCTCAGCCCTCTGCCCCCGCCTCTGGCTGCCGGGCTGTCTTTCTTCCACAGAAGGAAGTTGTCCAGGCAGGGAGGCAGACACCCAGGTCTGGCCTCTCAATCTGGAAGAGGACAGGGTCAGCTCCCAGGACTGAGCTAGGAGCCTGGAGGTGCTGGGTCCACACCCTGAATTCCCTGCAGAGCCCCTCCACCCCTACCCGCGACCAGGCCTGCAAGGCGGTTGGTGGGTTCGCGGCACTGCAGATCCAGCCCTTGGCTCAGCCCCAGTGCAGAAGCCTGAAGGAGGAAGCAAACCCTGTGGCACCACTGGGCAGGATGGACAGGGCATGGAAGGCGGCAACACCCTCCTCCCTGCTCCCTCCCTCTGCTTAAGCCCACCTCCCCTGTCCTTGGCAGGAAACACAAGTGAGAACAGAGGCCCAGGAGAGGACAGACCAGAACTAAATGACCACATCCCCTCTCCCAAAAGTCCAGGCCGGACAAGGCGGGTCAGCCAGGCAGCCCCATGGAGACTGAGACTCAGCCTCTGGCTCCAGTCCTGGGGACCCGGACATTCCAGGCCGCCAAGCTCATTGGGAGGAAAAACCACAGGCACTCAGAGGCACAATCCGACACAGACACGTGTTAACACGTGCTGTTCTGTCATCCAGCAGAGTTGAGCACCTACTGTGTGCCAGGCCCTGGGGTTCAGCACTTCACAGAGGCCAAGCTCCTGCCCTCTGGGAGTTGTTAGTGGGGAGGCAGCCGGCTCGCTGAGGAATGAGGTCATTTTAAAAGCAGCAAGGTTAAACCCTCCGCGAACTGACCTGGACAGCCTCCAAGGGACCCATTCCTCCAAGGACGGACCCTCTGAGGACCTCTGAGGGACCCACACCCACAGCGAATGGCCAGGCAGGGGCTCAGGAAGCTGCCTGCCATAAGGGTTGGAGGGGGAGGCATGCTGGGTGCGGAGGTCTGCGGGCCACACCCAGGCTCTCACGTGGAGCACAGGGAGGCCTGAAGGGGCCTGGTGGTCTGGTGATGCAAGAAATGCCAAATGGTTAGTTTAGAGCTGTCAGGGTTTACAAGAGCACACCAGGAAAATGGACATCCGAGAACCAGGTGGTGGACACAATCTGAGATGCTCCCCAGGGCACCTGGCCCTGAGGGAGCCTGTGGCCAGACAGCCCTTAGGGTCCAGATGACAGGTGCCTGCCAGTCACTCCTGAGGCAGAGTCTGCATTGCTGCCAAGGAGCCTCAGCTTCTTCTGAAACACTGAAACTCCCTCCCCCAAGAAGAAAACGGACCTCACACTGCTTTTCTGTTGGTCTGAGCAGTTCTCCTAAAAGCCATTTGTAGAACTTCCCTGGTGGTCCAGTGCCTAAGACTCAACTTTCCCAATGCAGGGGGCTTAGGTTTGATCCCCAGTCAGGGAACTAGATCCCACAGGCCACAATGAAGATCCAACTAAGACCTGGTACAGCCAAATAAATGAATACATTAAAAAAAAGTCACTTGAGACTGTGTTTGGCCCTTCTTCTTGGTTCCTGGTGGCCTGCCTGGCCCCAAGAGGCAAGGGGACTCTGCAGCCCTCATGTCTGAGGACCCATGAATCCCGTGGAGGCTCTCTTCTTTGGCTGAGAAGACAGGGCTGTCCTCCACCATCTCCTAGAGTTTGCCGTAATTCATGTCCAATGAGATGGTGATGCTATTTAACCACCTCATCCTCTGCTGCCTCCTTCTCTTCCTGCCTTCAATCTTTCCCAGAATCAAGGACTTTTCCAAAGAGTCGGCTCTTCACATCAGGTGGCCAAAGTATTGGAGCTTCAGCTTCAGCATCTGTCCTTCCAATGAATGTTCAGGGTTGATTTCCTTTAGGATGGACTGGTTTGATCTCCTTGCTATTCAAGAGACTCTCAGTAGTCTTCTCCAGCACTACAACTCAAAAACATCAATTGTTTAGTGCTCAGTCTTCTTTTTTTTTTTTTTTTTGTGGGTCTTGTTTATCTCACAAGACCTCCAAAAATTATGTAGAACTCCCCTATAGTCTTCTTTATGGTCCAACTCTCACATTTGTACATGACTGCCGGGGTCCAGCCCCGGTGGGTCCAGGAATACATAAGGGATGAGTGGCGTCAGCAAGAAGTGCACGGACTCTGGTTGCAATGCAAGAACTCGTCTACTATATTTTTTAAAAGCTCAGATTATATAGAATTGTTTTTCTTGCCTCCCCCTTACCATCACCCCATGTTATATCAGATGTTGGTTTCATACTCCCATCAACATTTTCCCTCATATCTTTCCCAGTGATTTCATCTGGAACAATCCCGATTACAGGGTTTTTTCCTTGAATGTCCCATACATAGTCTTCTTGCCTCAATTGACTAACATTTTCACTCTGACAAAAACAATGTTCCATAGATTCCAGCTATAGTATGAATTCTTTGGACAAGAAAACAATACATGGGAAGGGTTATGAAAAACATGTTTGACATTTCTGAGAATAGTACCATGAGAAAACCTTGATATTTTTCCTTGTCTAAGACCACAAAACCTCAGTCTACAATCTAACTATGAAGCAGCAAAACACCTCTGAAGCAGCAAAACACCTCTAATAATAGTGAAGTAATGGCAGTGAGGCTGGTTAATATAAATCTTCTATTGAAATCCTATGTTACACATTTTCTAATTCTACAAAAATACCTGTAATATTCTATGTTCATTAAGGGAATGGAAACAGTGGGCAAATAGCAGCACTGAAACAACAACAATGAAAACCCTCTTGACCAAAGAACATTAACCTATCGTACATCTGCTTCTGAATCTAAATAGCTTTACTTTTTTTTTTTTGCCTTTACTCTTTTTTAATCTAGAACATTATACTCTTCTAAGCAAGCAGCCAATTTATACCTGTGGCCCTTTCCTTTTTGGCTTGGTACGGTGCTTATGGTCATGTCCTGGGCCAAAGCAATCATGCGCATTTCTGATGCCCTCCCAAGTATAACGCCACTTGCGTGGTGAGTGGTCTGTCACAGACCTAAACAGGCCTTTCATTCCTGGTTGGTCATAAGGTTCCCAATGCTCAGGAGGCAGAGTAGGCCTTGGCCTTAGGGAATCTTTCTTAATAGCATTGGACTTTTCTGGGGTGGCCTGATCACTATATGTTACATTCCCAAGAATTAATAGAAAACCCAACAACAGTAAGACAGAAAGAGGAAGGGGACATACTGGGCCCCCGGGGCGACCCCGAGGGGAAGAGCTGCCTTGCATCTTCCTCTCTCATCCCTTGACCTTGTCATGGTCTGGGCACGACCCGGTGAAGAACTGCCTTGCAGCTTCCTCTCTCGTCCCGTGACCTTGTCACGGTCTGGGCCCGTCCCAGCGGCTCCCGACACATGACTACTGGAAAAACCATAGCTTTGACTATACGGACCTTCGATGACAAAGTGGTCTCTGCTTTTTACTGTCTAAGTTTGTCATAGCTTTCCTTCCAAAGATTAAGCATCTTTTAATTTTG